ACAAACTATCTTCACACAATCACTGGCATCGAAACATGTCTGATATCATCTGTAACCAACTATCCAAACACAATCGGTGGTATCGGTAATGTGTATGATATCATCTGTAACCAACTATCTACTCATAATCCGTGGTATCAACACATGTATATATCATCTGTAACAAACTATCTACACACAATCAGTGGTTTCAACGCATGTATATCATCTGTAACAAACTATCTACACACAATCAGTGGCATCGAAACATGTATGATATCATCTGTAACAAACTATCTACACACAATCGGTGGTATCAACACATGTATACATCTGTAACAAACTATCTACTCACTATCAGTGGCATCGAAATATGTATGATATCATCTGTAACCAACTATCTACTCACTATCAGTGGTATCGAAACATGTATGATATCATCTATAACAAACTATCTACACACAATCAGTGGCATCGAAACATGTATGATATCATCTGTAACCAACTATATCTACACACAATCGATGGTATCAACACATGCATATCATTTGCAACCAACTATCTACTCATAATCCGTGGTATCAACACATCTATATCATCTGTAACAAACTATCTACACACAATCAGTGGTTTCAACACATGTTTATCATCTGTAACCAACTATCTACTCATAATCAGTGGTATCGACACGTCTAAGATATCATCTATACCCACCTCTATACCCGCAATCAGTGGTATCGACACGTGTATGATATAATCTGAACCAACTATCTACACACAATCAGTGGTATCGACACGTATATAATATCATATGTAACTAGCTATCTACACACAACCAGCGGTATCAACACATGTATATCATCTGTAACCAACTATCTACTCATAATCAGTGGTATCGACTCGTGTATATCATCCGAAACCAACTATCTACACAATCTATAGTATCGGCAAATGTATAATACCATCTAACTTATTATCTACAATAATTAGTAGAAGCACCATATGTATAATACCATCTGTAACAAACTATCTACACACAATACGGTGTATTTGGAAAAATCTTTCCGAAATTATTTAGTTTCCAATGCTCTTTACCGATAAATGTATGCAAAGAAAGTATATCTAAGTTGAGAAAGTCAATGCTACTGCTGGTGGAGTTTTTCTCTCCGAGTGTATCACCAGCTCAGTAGTTATCACTTCTGTGCTGACAAGAATTATCATTGATATGGTCATAATTATAAATTAACTGTTTACAGAAATTTGAAATTTTTCGAAATACTAAGGATTTACTACCCCAGGAATAGATTACCTAAACTGTATTAGGCAACACTTTAGGAATTTTGGGTCCTCAATGCTCTTCAACTTTGTACTTTATCAAGGAGCTGGTGAAAGAACTGCTAGTATTGGCAGTCTTACAACATAAAGAATTCCTTCTCCTAATATGTTTGTAGCAACAGGAGGTGGAGTAGGTTGCTTTGTTAATAGTTGTCACTAATTTGTCACGGATGTTTTTATTTCTTCTGAAGGCCATGACTGGTGGTGAGGAATTGGAGTCATTTTCTATAATGTTCCAATGCTTTCGAACAATGGATGAAACATTTTCAAAATCAGGATGGTAAGTGAATACAAGAGGTGTTCTGTTGACTCCTTTATTCGTATCGTTGTACTCCAGAAGTTCTATGCGGTTAATAGTGTTTGCTTTTTCGAAAGCAGTATCAATACTGTTGTTATTGTATCCTCGAACAACTAGATGTTAAACGTAGTTATCCAAGTATAGCATGATGCTTATTTTCAGTTGATTATATTCTCTTGATTCGCAATGCCTGACTGAAAGGGATACCACCGGAGCAGGGTCTGGGATGGCAACTTTTAGGAGAGAGAAATTAATGTTTGTCTGTTTTCTTCGTATGAAGATCCATTATCATAGTTCCGTTCTGGATGTAACTCGTAGTATCAAGGAAGTTATTTTCTCCTTTCATGTTTTGTGTGTAAATTTAATTGAATGGTTGAAAGAGTTACAGTGTTCAAGAAATTCATTCAGATGGTCTTGTGAATCTGTCCATTTAAAATCAATATCACCAATAAATCAAAACCATGATAATGGCTGGTATGGAGCACAAGCCAAGAGGCGTTTTTCAAGTTGGCCCATAAATATGTTGGCATATGACGGGGCCATTTTTGTACCCATACTAGTGCCGTCCATCTGTAGATAGTGTTTGTCATTGAAAGAGAAGTTGTTGCTCTCCAGCATTAGTTGTAGAAGTGTAACAAGGCACTCAGTTGGAGGATTTTTGTCACTGCGATTGTTCCATACCTCTTCACACGCTGCTATTCCTTCGTCTTGTGGAATATTTGTATATCGATATAAAAGATGTGATTGCCATTGAGACAAAAAAACAAGAAAGACATAAGGACTTGGATGTACACAGCTATATATCACCGTAGGCCTTCAACAAAAAGCAAGACCCATATTGCATAGTAAGATTATGAAAGGTACCTTGATGAAAAAATGTAAAACTCATAAAAGAAATCAGGCTTATAATATGTTACGCCAGACGCGTTTCGTCTCCATCAGACTCATCAGTGGCGCTCAAAACAGTTGGAAGGCCAAATCAAAAACCAAGTTGAAGATCATCAAAAACTGAAAATTCCGAAAAGTTGTGCCAAATACGACTGAGGCAATATATGCCAGGGGATAGAAACACCTATATATTTCAAGTAATTGAACATTTTATCATCAGTATTACAGCAGAAAAATAACATACCGATGATATTTCATGTCAACACAAAAGTGCGGACTATTGTACTGGTGATACTCTCACGGGACGAAACATTCATCAGAAGTGGTATCGATCCAGAAATAGAAAATCAAAGGCCTAATTTATACTTAAAACGATAAGAGGAAAACAAATATGATAGAAAGCAACCAAAAGACAACCAAGTTCTAAATATCTTCGACAAAAATGACCTCAATAAAAAAAAAATCGGGGATGAAGTCAGCTGCTCCGGAAGGGTCATGCAGCTGGTCTTGCTCTTGGTGACACACGCCGTGTTTCTTATGTTAAAAGACGTTGCTGACTCATTTTCTATCATAACGCTTCATAAAAATATAGAATTGATGAATGTTCTTGTCTAACCCTGAGACCTTACCAAATTCATCAGCCATCGGTAAATGTTATTCTTTATCACTAAAAAGTGATCGGATGTGTAAGTTTGAAACGAAAAGTAGTTTATTAGGACAGAGGACAAACAAGACTGCTAGAAGTAGAAACAACACTGACTTAATGTTGTGATCTACTCCGACAAGAATACTTGGTATTATGTATTTAACCCACAGTCCATACCCTTTTTCCTCGATCTAGATATCACCGAATACGACTTATCACCGTATATTTACTTGGCATGATCATCACTTTCGGTTTGGTTCCATAGAGTTCTAGAATCTCTAGTTTTCTGAGTAATTTTCTATAGACTTCTGTTTACCTAATATATTTTAACATTTACCATGGGATTGACTTATATGGTTTTTGAATACAATCACATGTTTCCGGCTATCCGTAAGGTCCATCCATATTTGTTGAACCCTCTCTAATTTATTTATCATATATACTAGTAGGTAGTTTGTTTTGAAAATGAGCAAGAAATTGCAACGAATTGCCAATCTAACAATAATTAAATGGGAATCGAAAGTTAACTTTTACAGAGAGAAACAGTACAAATCTGGCACTGAAACGAATGAGTTAGAAAAATACTGGTTTAAACTATTTTTCTTTAAAAGTCTTTTGAAAAAAAACCGAACAGATTTCATTTCATATATCAATAATTTAAATTTCTTCATCCAATATTTACAAGAAGAAGTAAAACCAATTTAGCTTTTGAAACGTTTAGATATTCAACCCATTTATTCCCTTACTCTAGTACCTTTTAGTGAATTTCATTACTATGGAGGTTGACTGTCAGTCCCCCATTGGACCACCCGCCTTGTAGCCTATGCTCCAGTACTAGCTGGCATTTTGATTCCAGAGACGTGTGCCACTGCTCGTAGACTATCAGCCTCATTCAGAGAATACTACCCACCAGTAGTCAGCGCTTGCACAATTTGAATGATACATTGATGATTATGTCAATTTTCAGTTTTATAAATTTGGTGATTGTTCTAAGGCAAGTATTTCGGCTCCAAGTGGTGAAAATGACCTTGGACGATTTTGTATGATCTGTTTAGAATTTTTTGTGCTTTCATTAATTGTTATATGTTAATCTTTTTTTGCCTTCCTGTAATTGATTTAGTTAAACAGTATTGTCCATCGTTATATACATTGTAAACTTGCATTAAAAAAGAGAACGAATTAGAATATGAACACAACAAAATATTTCATTATAATACTACGCAATACGAGAGCACTTTATTTCGTACTTTATCTGAAACATTTGGATATAAGGGCAAACATTGTATTTTATTATTGTGTACAAGGAAACAACAACTGACACAATAACTCAATAGTATGCTTACTAAAAAAGTATAACAAAAATACTCCAAGGCAAATTCGAAAAAGGGAAAGTCCATAAAAACTGATAAAATCAAACGCTACCAATCAACGGAATAAGTGAAAAAAACACTGCAATATTCTTGACTCGGTACAGGTATGTTCCGCAGAAAATGGTGGGTCAAACCTAGTTTTATAGCTAGCTAAACCTTCCACTAAGTTGAACTTGATTAATCATCACCTTTTTTTTCTCGAAATACGTATAGAATAAGTCTGATTTTTAGACTATGAAGTCAATTTCTCTTTATAATGCCTTTTAAAGACCAACTTACTCAACTGTTTTTATGTTTTTTTTTGTTGTTGATTATTTTCTAATTAAAATTGAACAAATTTAGTCATGATATACTTATACTTATTTGGAAAAATATCAAAGCTAGTACACTTATTATGATTCAGTGCGTTATATTATCATATATTACAAACGTGATATTTCAACCATAATATAACATTTTATGTTAAGGTCCATTTAAATTCTATATTGATTATTAGTGTCGGCAGTTTACATGAAAATAGATATTTGCAAGAATTAGGTCAATATCGATAATAGAATATACAACTAGTGTGATTGTTATTGAATTATGCAGCAGATTCTTCTTACCAATGGTATTCGTCTATTAACATTGTATGGATTTTTATAATTTGTACACTTTCAATGGAAGCCAATGTAGATTCATTGAATTTTTAAACAAATTCTAGGAAGATAGTTTAAATAAAGCAACAGTGGATACACAACTGTGTTTTCATGCATTCTCCTTTTACCGTGATATTCAAATAAAGTAGAATAACCGAAAATGGATACAAACAAACTTACATTGGATGATATAAGGATCATTCCATCGGATGATTATGCACTTCACACGTTTCTACTAAAGATTGGAGATCAGCTAACAGAGGAAGACTTTAAAAAACTCAAATTCTGTTGCGCAGGTATTTTAGATTATACATAGGTAAAGCAAGACTCACTGAGTTCTTTTATTCTTCTGTACTATATCTTCTTTAAATTTCTTGCTGTCAGTTCTTATTAGAATAACCAGGAGAAACCACATACATTATACTTTGGATATCGGACGATTAATCCTTTTTTAATGAGCGATGGATTAATGTTTTGGTTTCCAATGCTCTTCAATTTCTTCTATTTGATTTGAACTTTTGAGTGTTTTGATTTGAGTGTCAATGATGAGTCTTATATGACAAAACACGAGTCTTGCGGACTAAATTATAAACCAGATATCTGACGCTCAAAATTTTTTGGAAAAATAATAATTTAATAAATTACTAAAAAAAAAAATGTCAAAAGAATTATATGTGAGTGACATGGTTCAGTTGCTTATAGGATAAGCCTATTCTATGTCGTGTTTGCTGATGTCTCAACTCAATGTATATTATCTTTCAGCGTCCATCCTGCACCTTATGAAAATATGTTGTATTTTGCATTCTTTGCTTAGGAAATTATTCATTTGCATCATATCAAGTTCCTTCAGTGTTCCTGCCACGTCTGATCCGCATTTCGCTGTAAATGTCTCCTCCTCTTTTGTTTATTATCAATTGTGTGAACTACTGTCATAAATATTTGAAGAACACTACTATCGCCTTTCACTTTCATTTAGACACTTTAAACATTTGACTCCTTTTACCGTTTTACCGTTGTTTTTATTTGTGATGTTGAACCATTTTGCTAGATACTCAGCATTATTTGCAAAAACAACACGTTTACTACAAAATGAAAAACAAATACAAAAATTGTAGCAGTTTCTTACAACTTACTCTCAAATGAATCGTAGAAAATGAAACCACACTTTAGAATTTTATGCATCCGAAGCGCTTTTCTGGATTTAAATTCATCAGAAACGCTCAAAGTCGAATATATGAAAGCCAAGGATGTATAAGAACCCAAACAGTTAAAGAGCTATATGACAAAATAGGTTCTACTCGATAAACGGTCTTTTATCATAAGTAACTTAAAGCAAATGCAGATGAACGGACTCGACATAAGTACAAGTTAAATTAATGAAACGTAAAGAAACACAAATGTTTTGTGGGAAGTAATCATAAATACGATTAAACACATCCAAAAACAACTCCCAGGACGACTCTTAGAACCTGTATTTAGAATCTTCGGGTTAGATAAAATCGGCAAATTACAGAACACTTTTTTTAAAGAAAAAAAAGAAGAAATTCTGACTTCACAGTCAATGCATTTAGATAGTTGTGCAACAGAAAATGCAACTTAAAAAGTTACAAAGAACATTTTTATATTATAATTGTTACAGTATTTAAAATATCACAACAAAGAAATAGTTTTCTAAATATGCTAGTAAACCTTTGCTGCTAGAAATATAAATTATTTTATACAAGATTGCTATAAATTGTTCGAATCTTTACTGCTTTGTCATGTTTAGGGTTATATTGCAGGCGAAGGTGGTTTGACTAAAAATGTTTTAGAGAAGATAACAGATTACATGAGTCTTTTTACTCATTTGAAAGAACGCAGGATTCTGACTAAATACAATCTTGCGCCATTACAAGCAATGATATGGCATTTGGGAAGGAAAGATTTGTACAAGGATTTCTTGGAATATTGTAATTCACAGGATAAAACACTTCATTTCTTTGTTCCTTCGGAACATCCAGGTAAGATAGAAAGTTTCTGAAGGGTATTCATGATAACTGTACAAGCTTCCGGTAACATTTCACAAAGCTTCAAATCAAAGGAGTTTAATATTTGCGTGAATATACATGTTAAGATCACCAATTTAATAGTTAAACCAAAAAACACATTGTCCAAAAATATCATTTCCAACATGTTTTAAACTAAATTAAAATATTGAAATTTCTCATTGCATGCAGAGTGGTAATAAATTTGACTACATAGTATTATAGTCAGAGAGGCATCTGGTATATGTATAATTAAATCGTGGCAAACATAAAATATAAGAAGTTTATAATGTCGAATACATTTCAATGTGTTACATGTCACTGCTGGTGAACGTTTTATCCCCGAAGGTATCAGCAGCCCAGTAGTAAGCACTTTTGTTTTGATCTGAAATATTATTGATACGTTCATTTTTGGCTGAATATAAAGCGTTAAATTATTCGAAACACTATGTGTTTTCTACCCCAGGCATAGGGTATATTTTGGTTATACGTGATTAATTTGGTGATCTTAGCATATATATATTCCCAAAGAATTGAACACCAAGAACTAGCTATAATAAGCTAAATTTAGAAAAAAAAACCATAATAATACCAACTAAAACTGCAACCAAATGAGTCATTTATTGGGTTTTTTACCTAGAAAAAACACAATTCAGTATAAAATACTTTACACCAAAAGTGTCATTTGTTTTCATCTTGTGGTTGATGTTTTTCCCTTGGTTTTGGTTTTTAACCCGGATTTGTTTTCTCTCAATCGATTTATGACTTTTGAACACCGGTATACTACTGTTGCCTTTATTCATTATTTATCAAGGAAAAACTATGATTCGAATATTCGATAAAAACACACTCTGCTCTTAGCTCGAGTATTGCTTGATTATTGCCAATGCTATATCGGATTTTTACAAAGTTCAGAAGTTGATACTTGAAAATTCAAAAGATGAATATGTTATTGTGTGTTGGTCAACAATGTATGCCTACTTGCTTAATCTTGTTGCCCCTTTGTGGAGCATAGGCCAGTAACGATATTCCTTCACCTTGTTCTATTTTTTTCTAGCTTCTCCAGATCATGCCACTTGTACCCTTCTTTCTCCATCTCGGCTGCAACGTTTCTTCTCCAGTTGTAACTTGGTCTGCCCCTGCCACGCTTTCCTTGTGGGTTCCGCTGCAAGGCTTGCCTTGTAACGCTGTTATTTGGCTTCCTCAGTGTGTGCCCTATCCATCTTCACTTTCTCTTTTTCAACTCTTCATCAACTGGGGATTGGTTGGTCTTTTCCCACATATCTTGGTTTGATATCTTCTCATGCCTTCTGATGTTAAGGATGCGCCTGGACAATTGTTGATGAAGACTTAATGTTTTGAAGCATGTTTTTTGTTGTTTTCCAAGTCTCAGCTCTCAGGTCTCATGTTTTTATATTGGAATTGACCAAGCGTACTTTGGTCTTTAGAGTGATGTTTCTTGCTTTCCAAATTGTGCCCATCATATTAAATGCAGTTCTAGTTTTGCCAATTTTGGTTTTTACATCTTTATCTGAGCTACCAAGATTGTCCACTAAGCTTCCAAGGTATGTAAATGAATCCTCTTCTTCTAAAGGTTGGGTGTTAACCATCAGACTTGTTAGGGTCCTTGTGTTTGACTTTAAAACTTTGGTCTTTTTGTAGTTGATAGATAGGCCTGTTTCCGCAGCTCTCCTTTCAACCTGTGCTAGTTTGTCCTGCATTTGTTTGTGGTTGATGGACAGCAAGGCAATGTCATCGGCAAAGTCTAGGATTCAGCTGTGTGAACATGGTCCATTGGATACCGTTTCTTCTGCCGTCTGTGGCTTGCTTCATGATCCAGTCAACCGCCAGGAGGAAAAGCATAGGTGAAAGGAGACAGCCTTGTCCTACCCCAGTTGTTATATCAAAGGCCTCTGTTAGTTGACCTTCATGGATGATCTTGCTCTGCATTCCTGTGTAGGTATTTCTGATGATAGTAATACATTTTTCAGGAATGCCATAGTGTCTCATCAACTGCCACAACACATCTCTATCTAAGCTGTCAAAGGCTTTGGCTAAGTCGACAAAAACAGAAAAGAGCGATGAATTGAACTCTTGTGATTGTTCGAGGATGATGCGTAAAGTTGCTATTTGGTCTGCACATGATCTGTTTTTATAAATCCAGCTTGGTTGTTACGATGAATTTCGTCTATTGCATTTTTGAGTCGATTTAACATTACTCTATTTAAAACTTTCCCTGGAAAAGTAAAACAACAAAAATAACGAACTCCAAGGAAAATTCAAAGCGGAAAGTCCCTTAACAATTGGCAAAATCAAAAGCTCAAACACATCAAACGAATGGAAAACAACTGTCGTATTCCTGACTTGGTACAGACATTTCCTTATGTAGAAAATGGTAGATTAAACCTGGTTTTAAAGCTAGCTAAACCTCTCACTTGTATGACAGTCGCATAAAATTCCATTATATTGACAACAATATGTGAACAAAACAAACAGATATTATAGGTAAAGATGTCAAAAATAGAGGTACAGCAGTCAACATTGTGTTATAATCTCAATCACCATGGAACTGATAGTAGCATTATTCATCTATAGTTGTCACAAATGCTTAAATTGCATTTCTTTGAAAGCTATACCATTGTCCTTCTTTCCATTCTAGAGGGACCTCTCCTTTTTCCCGGATCTTTCAAAACAGGTTATATAGCATTTCAGTTGATGTTTCAATGTCTGCTTTCAGTGCTTATGCAGGCATGTTGTCAGGACCTGGAGCTTTGTTGTTCCTCAGCATTTTTATGGCTTTCTTGATTTCTCCTTTAGAGGATCTTTTACAGTCAACTGCCAAAAGATTTTCAGAGGGTGGAATGTCAGCTTTATTTACCGATGGCTCTTGGTTTAGCACATTATTGAAATGCTCCACCCATCGTTTCATTTGCTTTTCATGTGTGTTTAGTGTATCCTTTCTTTGCTTTTTACCGGTCTACCTCCTTTCTGATATTTCCGAGTGAACAGTTTTATGTTGTCATATAGAGCTTTGATGTTGTTTGCTCTGGCTGCCACTTCTGCTTCTGCTGTTAGTTTGTCTACAAAGGCCCTCTTATCTTTCCTTGCACAGTTCCTACATCCTTGTTAGCTATAGTGTACGCTCTTGAGACTGTTTGTTTTGCTGATCTTGTTTTGCTGTTGTTCAGGATATTTTTTTTATATTTTTCCTTTCTTCCACTTTTACAAGTATTTCTGATGATATCCATTCCTGATGTTTCCTACTTTTCAAACCAGCTGATGTTTCGCAAGCTGTCGTGAAAGCTTCTTTAATCTCTTGCAAGGGATCTTCTATTGTAACTATTTCCTCTGTTGCATTCTGAAATGTTGAGAAGCGATTTTTTAATTCTTTGTTTTGTTGGCCAACATTGACGTGTTAAATCGTTTACCTGTTAATGTGTTGTTTTGGTGTTTCTTTAACTCCAATTTTACTTTTGCCACAATAAAGTGATGGCCAGAGGCAACGTCTGCTCCTCTTTTAACTGGAACATCTTGTAAACTTCTCCTTAACATCTTGGAGATGCAGACATGGTCTACTTGATTTTCAGTGTTCATGTCTAGAGAAACCTATGTTACTAGATGACATTTTTTGTGTGGGAATGCAACATGTATGCCAAATATAAATGAAAAGATATATAGGCTATTCGGAGTTACGTAAATGAGAAAACAACCAATCAACATACTTAAAGCCCATCAAGGATATCTATAGCTCAAAATGCGATTCTCTAGACAACTATTTCAAGCATCAAATTCTTAATCAACATATATCCGCCATTAATCATTTAAAACCTCATTAAAAAGTTAAATAATGTTCTAATGAAATTATATTCTTTATCTTATAACTTGCTTATATCAATTCTAAATAGTAATTCTCCAACAGTATTAAAACTTGTTGTAAATTATTTGAATGAATGCTTGTTTGTGAGACACTCATTGTCAAAAGGTACTAGATTTTATTTATATCTTTCTCATACTTATCCGCTGTCACTCCTTAATTGTACATATGTTATTGTAGTTTATCTGTATTTTGTTGCCATAACCATTTATTGTTTATGTGTTGGTGCTAATAAAGTTATCTTATCTTATCTTTATACCTGAACCTATCCAAGTATACACACACACACACACACACATATATATATCAATGATATAATTCACATGCAACTTATTTTTCTCTGTGTTGCTGATAGTTAATGGTTACAGACATGTGGATTTTCATATCAGAGGAACTGATCTATTTAGTTCAGATGACTTGGAAGCATTAAAAGCGGCCATGTCAGTTTTACTACGCTGTCCAATGCATCACATCATTATTGATGGTATAGAACCGACAAGCAGCATTCATATTACCATCATGATACCAGAAGTATGTATTGCGATTCTCTTGAACTTAGGAGACCAGGAGAAAAAAAGATTATGTTTGCATGGGGTAGATCGGATTAAAGTAGACGAACTACTTATAGACTGCAAAGGTAATCATTGCTGTAATTTGAATTAAAGATAGAAAAGTATTAACAAAAATACAGAACTCCAAGGTAAATTCAAAAAGGGAAAGCCATGAAATCTGAAGAAATCAAACGTTACAGCCAACAAAACGAATGAAATACATCTGTCATAATCCTGACTTGGTACAGCATTTTCCGAAGAAAGATAATTGATTCAAGTTTTCAGAATTCACAGTATGAATAGGATCATAAATATTGAAACTGTTTTTTCTCGAATAATTGGTATTCCAGTTATAGTAATTAGAAATGATTACTTTATAAAAATTTATCAATATCAGAAATTTTAATATTAATTAAAATACTTCCCTCTTTGATTTACAGTCTATAATATTCAAAATACCTCAATGTTTTTATGTTTCCCGAATCATAACTGTACAAAGAAAGGAAATTCTTCTTAATTTTGGTATCCCTACAGGTATAAAACGAATTATCTCGATATTTCCAGATTTTAAAGAGGACGAAGAAAAACCAACTCTTGATAAAGATGCAGCTGTAAAAAAAATTCTACAACAAAACAGAGATCTGCAGATGGATGTTGAGAACTATCAGCTCGCTATTGAACAAGAAAAAGAAAACACCAAAGAATACATATCGAATATTACAGGTAGCTATATACAATTCATAAGAATTAATGCATGTACTAGCCGCCGAATAAACCACATTGATTAATGCACTGATTTATGTGAGTCACGCAAAAATCTAATGCTAACGAAATATATGTTATATCTCTTAAAAGTAAACGGTTTAGAATTCGTTTAACTTTGTGTTTTGCTAAGACAGTCATATTTTCTTTGCATAATATCATATTTAACTGGATCGTAGTGGACGACTCCAGGGGTCCGTTTGCCATTTTTGTACTTAAGGTAGCAATACACAGTTAGGAGTGTGGTCTCGCATTTCGGCCCAAGTGGATTTTTTATACATGAAAGTTATTGTGCAATAAAATTCATTTTTTGATAGCTGATGACTAATTAAGCCTTCAAAGTGGATTTATGTGAACACCATAATTGTTTTTATTGGCTATTTTCTGTTTGACAGTCTTTATATTCATATCCAGACCGGCCATAGGTCTAGAAATTGTTGTAATGTGTACAAACACTTTTTTTTTATACTTTTTTTGACGTAATTTTACGGAAAAAATGAGTCGAAAGACCATGATTTTAATAAATGCATGTAAATTGTTTCAGGAATGACATCGCTCAAGGGGATTGGAATTCTACTTTTGGCCAAATTTTGGGGACATATGTGACATCTTCGAACCCCTTTTTGTTGTATTTTACAGCAAATAAATGCAGATTGTTGCCATGGATACACCAACAAGAAATTATATTTAATTTTTTTAACTACTAGAAACCAAATCTATGAAAGATATTGATTACATACATATGCACATATATGACACAAACAGTAAGCTTAATTTGTAAGAAAATAAAGAATTTTTTTCTGTATATTGCTACCTAATACCATGTTTTGAATATAAATAGAACAAATAGGGGAAAACGTGAATATCCACCATTTATATTAATCAAAAGGATAACCAGGAAACTTTGTACTAACTTAATGAACAATCAGGAGATTAAACACAAGCAAAGAAAAGCATACTCTATACAGCACGTAGTACATTCTAAAGCAGTACAAAAAGATAACAATATGAGCCGCTGAAAAAGAAATATGCATCTCGTCAAGGTTGCTTTTGATATAAACTCTTGAGAAAATCTTAGATATTTATAGAAAGATTATGTTTATCTACAATTCATTATTTTACTCTCTAGATTCAATATCCTACCAATATCTAAATTTCACAAGCTCATATCTGTATGTTGTTTATGATGATTTGACTTTAAATCTGTTCAACTGTATAGTGGTTAATAAATAAGATAAGTCTCTTATTATAAAAGTTCAGCAAACATATGATAAGATGAATTTGGTTTTTAAAGTTGATTTCATTAACTGCAAGTAAGATGGGTATTGTTAGTGTCTTATTATTTATTTGAGTAGTTTTACATTATGTACCGCCCTGACGAGTAATGTCCATTCCAACTGATTGTCATCGATTTTTATTACACTTCTGTCTCATTTAACCTACAGGGGAGGATTGACTACTTACATAACATGAATAATATAAAATGTGCCCGAAGTAAGTATTCCAACCGTTGTTGCTGTCTTCGTTTGTCTTATTGACTTAAGATGAAAGGCACTTTAATTGACATACAATAGATTTAATACTTAATTGCCGTTTTAAATTACCATTTGGTTCATTCAGTTGACATTTATGGACGAGCCTACAACAACAATACGGGATTATTAGAACAGATCGAAGTCAAGCTTCATGAAAACACTTATGTTGTTAGCCCGCTCTGATGTAATAACACGCTTAAACTACTTTATTATAAAAGTTCAGCAAACATATAATAAGATGAATTTGGTTTTTAAAGTTGATTTCGTCATTAACTGCAAGTAAGGTGGGTATTGTTAGTTTCTTATTATATATTTGTTGGACTCAAATCGACGTCCGATCTCTAATCGACGTCCGTTCCTCAAATCGACGTCCAACTCTGACGTCACGTTCTCAAATCAGTTTTCAATATTTTAACCCTCTAATCGACGTCCAATGTTACGTAATAAATCACATATACAACGTCCGATCGATGAGGAGACTCTCATCGCGATTTCATTGAATGATTTATTTTTAAATTGATCTGTGTTTATATTTTCTGTATCGTTTTGTCATTTTGTGATGTAGCTTACAGAAACTACATTCTTTGTCTTATATTTAATTAAAATAAAACGACAAATATTAGAAAATGACAATAAGACAATCATCAACATCATATTACAATTACATGTAATAGCATATTAATATTTTGGTGAAAGACGTTTATCTTCTACGTTGTTGATTTTTTCCTTTTTCATATAAATAAATGACATGCACCTGTCCTAAGTCAGGAACCTGATGTTCAGTGGTTGTCGTTTGTTGATGTGGTTCATAAGTGTTTCTCGTTTCTCGTTTTTTTATATAGATTAGACCGTTGGTTTTCCTGTTTGAATAGCTTTACACTACTCATTTCGGGGGCCCTTTATAGCTTGCTGTTTGGTGTGAGCCAATGCTCCGTGTTGAAGGACGTACTTTTACATGTAAAGGTTTACTTTTACAAATTATGACTTGGATGGAGAGTTGTCTCATTGGCACGCATACCACATCTTCTTATATCTATATACATTGTACGACAATGAGACAACAACCAAAGGCCAAAAACAAAGATAATGATAAGACATCCGGAGGGCAGTATACAGACTGAAACAATAGAAAGAATAAAAACGTACAGCCAATTGTTAAAAGTTTTACGATTTGGACTTTTTAACAACTTTTTAAGTTTTAAATTCAACCAACCCTTGAATAAAGTTGTGATTTCACTGCGACAAGTCAAGAAAACGGACGTTGATTAGGGAAGCCAAATATTGGACGTCGATTTGAGAACCACAAAAAAGACGTCGATTAGAGGAACATAAAATCGGCCGTCGAATTGGAATGTTATTTTATTGTGACGTCAGATTGGACGTCGATTTAAGGAACGGACGTCGATTAGAGATCGGACGTCGATCTGAGTCTTACATATATAAAAAATAAAGAGATATGGTATGATTGTCAATGAGACAACTATCCACCATGGTTCACATGAAGTGGATATAAGCAATTGTAGGCCACATATAATGGTCATAATTTACTCCACAATACATTCACCAATGCACTCCTGTACATCTTCATCATATACCTTTGTCCTAATTCATGTTCTGCAAATACTTAAAAAAACAGGCAGTGTTAAAAAAGAGGGACGAAAGATACCAGAGGGACAGTCAAACTCATAGATCGAAAAAAAAACTGACAACGCCATGGCGAAAAATTAAAAGACAAACAGACAAATAATAGTACATATGACACAACATAGTAAACTAAAGACTAAGCAACACGAACCCCACCAAAAACTGGGGGTGAGTGGTAAATGTAAACTGTGAGTGAAACAACTCGAAATACAAAACCAGAGAGGATAGAAAATCATTTATTTACCAAGCTTCTATGCATCCCATGACACTTTCATAAAAGTAAAACAAAATTAGAAACATAACCATCAAGAAAAGAAAAATGAGCACTTTTCATTTTGATCAGTTAATATATTAGTACGATCTTTTACTTTTCAGATGCCTTACTAGAATTAAGGTATGCCGTGGAAATATGTGAAGAAGAAAGAGATGAAATTACTCGCAAACTTCAGAATATTATTGACGAATATGACGAGAAATGTTCTGAATTAAACAAAGTCATTGAAAAAGCTCATATTGTAACGTCGGAAAATTTCTGCAAAGGTAGTGTTTATAATTTTTTTTATTGCATGTCATTACATATGATGGTACTCATATTATTGCATAACATTGTCAAATTGTAACCTCGGAACTGACTCGTTCAAATTATATATTATAAATGTATTTTAGTTAATGAATTGTGCAATTGTACTATAACTACAATTGCAAATGTCACGGTCAAATTTGATCTGAATATATTTGCCTATTTTATTTATTTAGGACTTTTTATGTTTGGCCTCCTTAACTTTTGTCATCAAGCCTTACTGATGACTAATATTTTATACCTGAATGTTCGCAACTCGATCAGGAAAAGTTGACTGTAAACAGTTTTGTTTGTTTTGTTAAAGCACTGTTGATTTTGAACTTCTCATATATTTTATATTTTGACTTTCAAACTTTTGGGTGTCGAACGAATTCCAGAATTACATGCATCCCATACGCACTAACATCGGTAACACGTGTTGTTATTCCTTAACTAATTATAGGTATCAATTAAAATATGGAAATCATTAGACAGAACTGTTATCTAATGTACAAAGGGAATAGTCAAATCAAAAGTATATATGAAAAGACATACCTTCTTAGAACTATTTCATTTTAATTATATCTTGTGTTTTGAAGGTAAACCTTTATTTATTAAAATGATGATTAAAATGAGTAGCGATCGTCATTCCTAGTAACCATTTTACTACTTATTTTTATATTAACGACGGTTTACCAACGGACATACTGAGAGTACTTGACCATGCAATTCCAGACCACGCTGATAGATATGTGACCCACCATCACATTTCCAGGCTTATGGCGGTGAACGTCACAATGAGAAAACGTCGATGTAAAGTCAAGTAACGTAATAGGGCACCTGTTATTGGATGTCCAATTACTAGTATATCATGCGGTAAAACAGTTTAATTTTTTCTTGACTTTTGGAAATTTGAATTTTATATTTAATATAAAAGACAAGTAGATTTTGTACGTAAAATTAATAATTAAGGTAAAAATCCAGTTTAGAATCGGCTTCTAAATTCACACAATTTATCTTTAAGATTTCATTGCATTGATCTGAATTGAAACTAATTCTCAAAGGGGCCTGAAAATTAATTTTATATTATTGTAGGCATTTCAAAGTGCAGTGTTTATATTTTTCTCTAATTAATGACTACTAAATATTGCAGCATGAAAACCAAGTTTTTGGAGTAAATCTCAGTGTTCACATCAAAAGGGAAAATATCTTGGTATTAATATTGTTTTCCTTAAGAAGGAAAGATGGTTAAGTCCTTATTATTAACTCATTATTATTTAGATTTCAGATTCCGCTACATTGTTGTTATGGCAAACGAATGGATGATATAGATATAAAAAATCTTAAGTTGCCCCCCCCCCCCGCCCCCTAAAGAAAAATAAACAACAACAAAAAATATGAGATATTTCAAAGATAACCATAATAGATGAAAATATATGGGGAAAACTGAAAAAGATGAAATTTTTTAATAAAATCTAAATTAACAAAAATGAACATAATTCTGTTATTTTGCAGAATCTAGCAAAATAACTTGTCATGTTGTTTTGAATCTATGTATACTTCATAAAAAGGCAAAAAACTCATTGTGACTGTGGTACCTCCATAATCCTGAAAATCTCATGGCTGGTCACATATATATTAAACGAAAATGATATGTAATTTCAGCATATTTATATTTCAGATGCTTTAGTAGACCTTAAGGACACTGCTGAAAAATGTGAAACGGAAAGAGAAGAAATTATCTGTAAACTTCAAAACATTGTTGATGAAAGTAACTTTGGAGAAACTAGACACAGAATTTCAGAATATGGATGTAAAGGTAATCTAAATAAACTAATAAAAAAAAAACCACATCGAAATGTGGATATAATGTAGTGCGAAATCATTATATCAACCGTTTTCTTATAAAAGTCATGTTAGAAGATAGTTTTCTCTCAATCGATTTATGACTTTTGAACAGCGGTGTACTACTATTGCATTTATTTATTATATATCTTAGAATATATCTCTTAAAACACGTCAGCTGAAGAATTGCTTGACTGAATATGCAATATAATTCAATCACGTTTATGAAAGTTTCTATGTAACTTGTAGCCAGTTTTTCTCAGCTTTGTACTCATGTCTGTGTTTATTTTGTAGAAACGTTATTGTACTCAAGAGGAGATGGTAAGTTTTTTTAACTATGCAGTACTTAAAACTGTAAAACAACAGCAAAAACCAACAAAAAAAAAAGAAGAAAAAAAAAACCAACAAAAATGTGAAGTTTGACTTTTAACGCAAAGTTGACCAATTTCAAGAGCAGAGCAAAATGCCAATTTAGGAACATCTTCCTGCAGTTAATGTTTCGGTATTGTTCATGATTCAACATGTTTTAATTCTCAGGATATGAATTATAAATTTACAAAAGCTAAAATATGAACTTGCTTTGGCCTTTAGAAGTTTCCTTCTTATTTTATAGGTCATATTTGGTCATACTGTTTGCTCTTTATATTAATCTCTCTTTGGATTTTAATCAGCGCAACAACATGATTATTTTTGGTACAATTTATCAAAATGTTAATGCAGAATGTGACAAAAATATAAGTTGCTTAGTTCCATATACAGTTTCTGTTCAATTCCGTAGGTTTCTGAAAATATAATGCCATTGCTTCCACTTGCAAATGACGATGACAAATATGTATATGAAAAATATAAGTCATTTGATAAGTTATTTATTATATATTTATGAAAGGGGGTGCTATGTTCTTTCTCTGGTTTCATAACATTTGAACCATGGAAAAGCAAATTATTTTTTTTAAATTTACAAGGATTTTATTTCTAATCTAACAAATAGAGGAAAGGATTGTTTCTGCCTAAAACCTTTCAAGAATGTTTAAGATGGAAAATTGTACAGAATATCCCAATTTGAACAACACACGATTACTATTAAATGAATTAAATGAATTAAATGTTTTAACAAACTGCAATTTGACCTTACACAGGTCATTATTTTATGCCTTAAAGCACATTTAATTGAAACTTTATATCGTCCGGGTTGTTTCTTCAAACGAATGATCTATCATTCTAAAAATAAATAACTCTATATAAGTATATACGTTAATAATAGGTTAATGTGCTATGTGTATTTTATAGTACTAAGATCTTTGTCTCAGCTTGATAAGTTAGGAATAGAGGAACTGGAGGAAAAGTCGTGTGATATTCAGTCGTAAGTGATTTGAATGAAATATTTAATCCTTTTTTCAGCATTTGAGATATAATAATTGTGTTAAGAGAGTTCGGAGCAGAAATAAAAATGACAATTTTTTTTTCAAAATGAAGAAAATGTTTCATACATTAAACTTTAGTATATAGATATTGTCTATTCTTTAAAGATGCCAGCATTTGCCAATTCTATATTTTCGCCAAAAAAAAAAAGCATATCTTTTAATTTTAATAAAAGGTAAAAGCTCATCAAGATTTATTATGGGAAAAATGAATTTTAAATTGTACAAAAATGCAGAAGAATTTTCAAGAATTTTAAGATGTTTGTCAGAGGTGTAATTGAATTGTATGTTTAAAAAAACATTGATAAATATTGGAGTTGCTGAGAGAACCTGTCTGGTGTATTGTCTATAGAAGGAGTTACATGAAAAAGAAAGAAGCGAATATCCTCAGTATACACATCATTAGTGCGCTGGAGTTCGATAAAAATTTTGTGTCAAAAAACATTTTCAATTATTGTATTACTAAAATGCTTCTTTTATTAATCCGTTTTGTTCACAAATTATTTTCAACAATGAATATGAAGTAATGATAAAAAAGGATTGATTTTTGCAAGATTATCTTTATCACTTAATAGTGATGGTGAAAAGTTACCAAAGATGCCAAGTTTATATGTTTTAGTATGTCGAACTCGAATCAAAACGGTTGAATTGCCAAAACAAATATGAAGTTGTAGAGCATTGAGAACAAAAATTTCTTAAAAAGTTGTGCAAAATCTAGAATAGGCCATCTAGTCCTTGTTAGAAAAAAAACCAATTGCTTCGAATGATTTTATCATTTTGTAAGCAGTAAATTTACAGAAAATGACCGCGCCAACTTCCTTTGATTACAACCAAACTCGAACGAAGATGAGTTACATTATTTTAAGAGGCTATTATTTTTTATTCTTTCAGTACTGACATTGTCTGTATTCAATTTTATGTGACAGTGAAACTAGATGCGCGTCACTCGATTACATTTTACAAAATGACAGGATTTTAGCACATAATTACTTTTTGAGAACCCATATTTAAAACAAATTTAACCCTTTTTCTATTTTTTATCAATTTAAACATCTTAACATAGGCATGACAAATTTCTTAAGTATCTGTTTTTTCTCGGTGTATTACATTTGCGCGCAAAAATCATTACGTTCTCCTAACACGTTAAAAATTCATCAAAGATAGATGGCTTATAATTTGGTACGCCAGACACGCTTTTTGTTTACATAAACCTCATCAGTGAGGTCGAAATAAAACAGTTGGAAAGACCAATTAAGTACATAGTTAAAGAGCATTAATAACCAAAAATTCCGAATAGTTCTGCCAAATACGGATCAGGCGATCCATATTTGGGGTAGAAAACCCTTAATGTTTTGAATATTTCACCATTTTGTCAACAGGTAATTTACAGAAAATGAACATATCATATGTCATGTCAGCTCAAACGTGCTGACTACTGGGCTGGTAATTCTCTAGTAGGGGAAGGGGACAATATGTTGTTTTGACTATCATATGCATATACATGTACAATGTAAATCTAGCAAGAGTCCCTATGACATTCTGAAACAAAAATAACAAATAAACTTTAAAATCACACTTAACAGGGAAATACGGATACACGTGAGGATCATGAAAGAATACATTAAAACATCGTTAACTTTGCAGTAGGAGTTGCTACACAGAAAAATAAAAAGATTGAGCAAGCGAACCCCATTAAAACAGGAAATGAACTCAAGTGGTACAAAAGGGTTCCTGAAAAACTAGTAGAACCATACAATCGCGTTACTCAGTAAATTTCCCTGTAATATATAAATGAAAGTTATTCAAAAGATAATGTTATAAACAGTTATTTATCATTATAATTTTTAGGCAAATTATAGAAATCTTACAAACTAGTCAAGCATGTGAAATTACATCAGATATAGTGCAAAGCGTACAAACAGAGAGAAAAAATCTGGAAAAACTAAAGGTATACTTACAAAAAATTATGTTGACTGATTAACAAATTTATTTGATATATTGAATCTTTCTATCGATTTTTTGATAGTTGTAAACAATTTCTTTAGTACGATATCGATGTTTTTATAGTTGTAAACAATTTCTTTAGTACGATATCGATGTTTTTATAGTTGTATACAATTTCTTTAATACGATATATATGTTTTGATTGATGTTTCCATTGCTTTGTTTGGGCACATAGAAATTTTCGTTAATTTTTGTTACGCGAAGGTATGATTCATAATTTCATAGGAAAATGAAACATATTACATTCAAATGTGTCGAGAAACTGTAGCATGATTTGATTTACAAATTTTACATTAAGCCGATTGCCAAAAATTTCAATTCAACTCTAGATTGAGATAAACAATACTTTTTTTAAATAAGTTTAAGTGTTAAAAAATTAACGATTTCAGAGGGATAACTATGTTTTTCTTTTAAAGGAAAATATACAGAATCTAGTGAATGTTGAGGTTTTTGACAAGGTATATTCAGCTGTTCAACGGTTAAAGAAAATAGAAGATGTAATTTTAGTGAAGAAAAGGCATCGAAGCACATCATTAACTTGTTCTTCCGACCAAGAGTCATAAACTGTACAGCGTTCAAATTTACCATATCGAAAAATTGATAAATTGTGATTTGCTCCACCTAAACAGTTTTTTCATGATTCCAAATCAAGATTTTAGTGTTAAATACAAGTGAAATGCTATAAGGCGAAAAGTTACTATAATCATTAGCAGTTAAATTTACTTTTGAGGGATAACAGAAATTCAAGGCAATAACATTTTTCGTGTTTCAAGAAATATTTTGAAAAGTAAAACAAAAATGAATGTTATTTCCATGCACACGATCTTCGTCAGTTCGACCGTAAACGAAAGTCTGGAAAGCCCAAAACTTAAAACATAAGATAGCGTAAGAACGAAAATGACCCAAGTAAAAAGTAAAATAACAAAAATACCGAACTCCAAGGAAAATTTAAAACGGAAAGTCCTGTATAAAATTGAAAAGTCAAAAGCTCAAACACATCAAACGAATGGAAAACAACTGTCATATTCCTGACTTGGTACAGACATTTCCTTATGTAGAAAATGGTGGATTAAACCTGGTTTTATAGCTAGCTAAACCTCTCACTTTTAAAACAGTCCAAATTTTCTGGGGTAATTAAGGTCGACTATGTCCTAGGAAATTGCAACCTTAGTTTAGTACAATTACATAATTATGAAGAGAAAAGATCATATATGAGGAAGTTCAATTATAACTGAAGTAAAGGTGGCCATTGCACACAACAATGTTCTTACTATGCATGGTGTTTCCAATTGTATAACAGCCCTAACAAATGCAACCAGTAAAAAGAGAGAGAATATACCAAGGGACAATCAACTAGTACAAGTCCTATAAAAAGCAGGCCATGACCAAATGATAAATGACGAAATGACAAACAACAATAAAATATCACTTTACAGAAAAGTAAAGATTAAACAAAACAGATTAAGTTTTCTGATAGCGAATTAATGAATCCCTCTTTCCAAAGATTCTTTTTCCTTAATCGTTAAAAGAGAGGCGAAGGATACTAAAGGGATATTCATACTCATAAGTCGAAAATAAACTGACAACGCTTTGCTAAAGAAAGACAGACAAACAACAGTACACAAAGCAGCATAGAAAATCAGACTGAGCAACACGAACCTCACCAAAACCTGGGGGTGATCTCAGGTGCTCCGGAGTGAATAATCTCGTGTTTTCAAGGTCGCTTTAGATTCAAATGAACGTAAAATAATCTTTAAAGCAGAAAAGAATAAGATAACATTATTGGCGAAAACATTCATTTAATGATACCCCAACTCTAGGAGTGGGGACTATATTGCAACCATTTTGTTCGTCAATTTGTCCAACAAATATTTTTGTCTGGAGATGTAAGTGCATTCTTTGCAATCTTTTCGGTGGACTAATTAGCTGTTTTTATATTTTTTAGTGTCTTGTGATTAGATTCAATAAGTACATTTCTACCATACGCATAATTATCGAAGCCTTCCATTCCAAAAACGATAGCCACAGATTCCTTTTCAATTTACGCATATTTCACTTAGTTTATGTCAGTCAACGATATAATGTCTTCTTGCATCATACATGTATAAAAAAAGTATTAACAAAAATACCGAACTCCAAGGTAAATTCAAAAAGGTGAAAATCTATAAAACCTGCCAAAATCAAACGGTAGACTACATCAACCAACGGAATGAATTGAAAACAAAAGTCATATTCCTGTTAAAAGCAATTTCCGAAGAAAATGGTGAGTTAAATCTGGTTTATAGCTAGCAAAACCGCCCATATCGCATTGCACAGCGGTAGCATTTTCTTGATCGAAGTGCTTAAGCACAGGGTTAGAAACTGACTAACTGTCTTATGTGGATTGATACTTCAGTAGGCAGTCAGATTTGCAAAGGGTACTTATTGTGCACCAATACTGGCTGACTTGTTTTGTACTCATATGCAGCAGAATTCATACAGATCCTTTTCTTAGACAAACAAAAAAAGTCTTGCAAAGTTCCTGAATGTAAGATACATTTATGATGGTCTGTCGTTCATTTAACCCACATTTCAATGCTTGCTTACATCTATATCCCAGTGAACCTGCGATTATGGATACTATCGAAAGTAGAAGGTCTACTTCATATCTTGATACAGATGAAGACTTTAAACTTTAATCTATAAAAAAAAATTATGATTTCAGCTTTCCAATTGTGAACTCTCCGTTTCTCAACAGTAACATACTCTCTTCCATATTATGTCGTTTACATATATCAGTTAATAAATAACGCTCGTTAATGTTCACACTATGCAGATTGTATTTACAAGGATTTGCTTCTTATGTAGAAACTGCTCTAACAGAGCTCCGAGGAACTGCGACTAAAATCGAATCTACATAAACACTACTGTCACCATCACGAATTGGTTGACCGATACGATGGATCGGTGTCTCAAATCACTTACGACATGTATTCGATTTTATACATCCTAGGCTTTTGAATATACGGCTTTGAGCGTACCTGATGAAGGTAATCATAGAAGATTGCTTCGGACACCTGAAATATACAAAATGTTGTTTTTATCTTTCAGTAATGGCTTTAATTTTCGTCAGATCGACTCCCAGGCCTTCGCTTGAAATTCGGTGGCTAAGATAATTTACTTATTTCAATCTAAGCTTCAGCTTTAAAAGAGAGGCAGAAGATGCCGAAGGGATAGTCGAATTTAACTTATGTTCTCGGTAATCTCAGTACCAGAATCTATGACAAACGAAACGATTTCAATTTTAAAATTATAAATTTTCCTCACCTTAGCAGCTATATTCAAACTTCGTTAGCGCATGGAGTACTGTGGATTCAATATTATTCATGGAATACCAATTTCTGAGGATGTCGAAGGTACAGGTTAACCACAAATTTAAATGTTCAACAAATAACAAATTTTCTATATCTTGTGTATCTCTCGTCCTCCTTTGAAAGTCTTCGGGAGCAGGCAGGTGAAATCCAAAATCTAACAATTTCAGATTTTAGACTTAAGATTTCCCTTAATTGTAATCGGAACATTTCGGACAGGAAGTTGAATTTGTTTCACGATAGGATCTACCTCCAAATGCAATTCTCTCTAATTTGTCTTCACAAATAAAGACATTGCTGAATTTTTCTTTAATTCTTTTCTTTTTTCTCGGTAAACTTTCCATTACTGCTTTCAGGTCTTTGATTTTCTTATTCTTTTCCCTTGGTCAAAAATTTACAAAATTTTATTTTCATTCACATGCAGTAGTTTTCTTCTACAATGTAGTTTCAAGTTTATTTTATTCGAAAAGCATGATCAGTCTCGGCTGTATATAGGCTTTCTTCAATCTCATCATAATAGCATGTTTGAAAAGAGAGGCGAAAGATACCCAAGTCATTTTCAAACTCATCAATCGAAAACAAACTGACAATGCCATGGCAAAAAAAAAGAAAAACGACGAAAAGAATAAAAACACAACATAAAAGCTAAAGATTCAGCAACACGAACCCCACCAAAAATCGAGGGTAATCTCAGGTAAATTTAAAATAATAATGTAGAACTGCAACGCATGTCTTTTGTTTTATTGTGTTCTTAGACTAGTATCTCAAAAGAATGAGAGCTATATCAGATGAAACTCTTAACATTTTTTAAAATGAAGGTACTCTGTTTCCAAGACTTATCATTAAATGAATTCTCCTAAATTTCCAAGGAATAAAAGCACTTGGAGCTTGGAGATTGAAACGTTTTCTGCTCCAACTGGGTTAAAGATGAAACAATGTGGACCAAAATTAATTCTTTAAGAAATATGCAACAAAGATATGATAGAAATAATCTAAATATTGATTAAATAGCTCAAATTCGTTATACCTGGTATGTTACTTATTCAGATAATAAATACTCACCATACCAGGCTTTGGTTGTAAAGCAAAAATATGATTATTTTCATTGATACTGCGTTTGGAGATTCTTGGTTGATCTGATAAGCCAGGAGATGTAAGTAAGCAAAATAGAATCTTTTGAGAACTCAGATTAGGAGAAAGTAAAATAAAAAAAATACCCAACTCCAAGGAAAATTCAAAACGCATAGTCCAAATGTTTCAAATTTGATAACAATAACCATTTTTTCTTCGAATGCAAATGGGTTAAAAATTATTGATCATTCATATACAAAATATTTATGTATTTTATATCGATCAACATGTGTTTTGTATTAACAATCTCGTACTAGGATAAAAAATTGAAGATATTGAATATAACGCACTTAATCATATTATAACACTGATTTGATTTGTGACTTATAAATATTTTTACTTATCAGAAAAAAAGAACTAAATTTATGAATATGTTGTCAGCCCTAAAAAATGAATTAAAATACAATTTTTATATCATCCAGATAGTCCATGTTTGAGAAAATTTCAGAAGAAAATTTTCGAACTTTGATTATATTTCTCTTTTTTATTAGAACTATGCTATAAAAATATGTTATAGTTTTTCAGCAACCAAAAATCAATTAACAAAGGGGGGAATCCTTCCTTGATTTATTTTATATACGTAGCAGATTGTCTACAAACTTTACACATTTCTGAATTCTTTCAGTAGTTTGATATTATTGAAACACTGTGTCTAAACTACCCCGCCAAAAATGTTTGGACTCAATGGTATCTAATATCCGGTACGGTGAAGTACCATCAACAGACAGAGAAAAGATAGGATTTCTGTTTATTTATTTGTTAATTTTATGATATTGAAGAATATAAATACATATATAACTATTTTCGATTGTGAGATATAATATTTTCTTGATTAACGGAAAAATAAGTAAAAAGGCTCGTCAAAATGATCAATTGAGTGAACCTTGCAACGAATTTGTTAAATTTCTCTTTAAATTGTGCACGTTGTACGGAAAGAAAGGTACAGAAAGAAAGATATTAACATGGAGATTACAAGACTAGTCACTTTGAGCACCTCAATATTTGTATTTCTGTGCATGGAACGAAATTATTGGGTCATGTCAAAATGGAAGAACTCGGTTTCGTCCTTAAATTTCACAAAGCAGGACCCTGTTTTGTCATAGAAAATAATGCATAATAGCACAACGTAAATTAAACTCCGGCGTTCAAATGGAGTTTTATGGCTCTTTGGAAAATGGCTTCTTTCAAAAGACAATTTATTTTTTATTTTGAATCCGTAAACACTAGAATTACTGCTTTATTGAAAAAAAATAATTCTAATTTTGCTTTGTTTAATAAGGCATCCCGTTTGTGTGAGACTAAATTATGAATTGTTAGACTTTTTAAAAAAATTTAAGAACGATGCAATCTTGTTTTGAATTCTTTGTTGGTTTTTAGCTCACTTGACCCAAAGCACAAAGTGAGCTTTTATCATCACTTGGCTTCCGTAGTCCGTCGTTCGTCGTCGTCCATTAATTTTTACAAAAGTCTTCTCCTCTGAAAATACAGGGCTAAATTCAACCAAACTTGTCCACAATCTTATGTTGGTTTTAAAAATTCTAAAGATATGATATGGAAAATACAAAATTGTAATAAACTTTTATTTCAAATATTAACCTTTTTTTTTAATTTGAACTGTGAATATGATTTGTAAAACATGCTTTAAAAGTCCCATGATATTAAATGTGCTTACCTGAAAATAGATGAAAAGTTGAAAATCCCTTAGCTATGTTACGTGTGTGCGCAAGTGTGAAAACTTACATTAGGTATTAGATACAAAACAAAGGTAACAAAAATACCAGGCTGGAAACAACCGTTGCCGTATAGTTTTTCTGCACGAGTAGTCGGTTCAATGTCTGAGGCGATAGACAATGACCTTGACCTGACAACAAGTGCAGGAAAAAACTATACGGCTGGTTATTACCATCCCGATTCTTTTGTTACTTTTGTTTTGTATCTGACTTGAACACACACAAAAAAATGATATACCAGTTTGTGTACTACGATGTTTAACGATATTTAGTCTTTAATGAAATAGGGGTTTTGCGTTAACACCAGCGCTTCTCAATTTCAAGCTGTGTGTGAGTGAAATTATTGCTCATTTCTTTGATACATATCAGTGATGTAGGAGAAAATTTAAAAAATGAAGGGGGGATTCTTTAAGTGGCAATTTATATTTTCTATAATAAGATATATAAAAAATAAGAAGATGTGGTATGATTGCCAATGTGACACCTCTCCACAAGAGACTAAATGACATAGAAATTAACAACTATAGGTCACCGTACAGTCTTCAACATTTAGCAAAACCCATACCGCATAGTCAGTTATAAAATGCTCCACATTGACAAATGTAAAAAAAATTAAACGACAAAAACTAACGGCCTGATTTATGTACAGAATAATGAATGAAAAACAAATATGATATACAGCAACAAATGACAACAACTGAATTACAGCCTCCTGACTTGGAACATGCACATGCAGAATGTGGCAGGGTTAACTAGTTTGAAGGCGCCAACCCTCCCCGAACCTGGGACCCACCCCTAAAAAAACAAACAAACAAACAAAACACGACAGGTTCGTTTAAAATTACATATATATTCATTCGACGGACAGTGTTCAGATACGTGTTAACGTCACTTTATATAGTTTTTGTTTCAAAATGAAACAAAACCGGGTCATAAACATTGACAAAACCGTGTCATTGTGTAGTAAACAACATTGACAAAACTGGGTCCTTCCATTTTTACATGACCCATTACTTTCGTTCCATGCACAGAAATACAAATATTGAGGTGCTCAAAGTGACTAGTCTTGTAATCTCCATGTTAATATCTTTCTTCCTGTTCCTTTCTTTCCGAGAAACGTGCACAATTTAACGAGAAATTTAACAAATTCGCGGCAAGGTTCACTCAATTGATCATTTTGACGAGCCTTTTTACTTAATTTTTCGTTAATCTAGAACGGTTGTAGAAAATATTACATCTCACAATCGAAAATAGTTATATATGTATTTGTATTCTTCAATATCATAAAATTAACAAATAAATAAACAGAAATCCTATCTTTTCTCTGTCTGTTGATGGTCCGTCACCGTACCGGATATTAGATACCATTGAGTCCAAACATTTTTTGCCGGGGTAGTTTAGACACAGTGTGAAAGACAATCATAATAAATGCAATACTTACTCAGCTTTCATGAAATTAATTTCCAAGCCATGCTTGTTCGATTAATTCTTCTTTCGGTTGAAATGCGAAATTAAAATCAAAACAGATCCGGATAATTTTCCTTTGATTGTTTTAGTGTCAACAAATATGTATATATATGTGCTCGTAGAAATGCTTTGTAAAATGCAACTAAAACAGAACTTAAATGTATGTTAATATTGCTTATTAAAGCACCTGGTTTCACTAGCAATTAACAACACAGGGAGGAACCTTAGTGTCATTATTGTAGCACTAAGGGGCATTGTTCACAACTATTAGTGCAGTAGAATATTTGAAGTTGTGAAAAAAAAATCATATAAAGTTAAATACTCATGATATAGATATTTCTTGTACATTTATTCAAATAAGACAAATACCAAGCCATATTGACTGAAAACTTTCAGACAAAAAAAAAAAATTTTTAAAAATTGAGCGAATCATTATCAGTGTCGTGTAGAATCTTCATATACAAATACATGAAAAGATTTGACATTTGTAAATCTAGGAACTTACAAATAAATTTGAGATTACAATTGATGTTTATGTTGTGAAAATGCATGCACATATTCATGTATAATGGGGATGTATTTTTGTTAATTTCAAGCTTTTGAACCATTTCATTAAACAGTAATTCAACATGTGTACGACGAAAGAATCCTTAACATAAATATTTTCTTATTTGGACAAATACTGTACATTGCATTTGATTTGAATATATATATCAAGACGCAGTGTTAGAATTCATGATTTACAAATAAATCTTTTACTACCGTATGCAAAGTATTAAAACAGTACGACAGAAATCATAATTTTGGTATAAAATATCTCTTTTAAAAAATGAAGCAAATGTTATATTCCTACATTATCAAGACTTTGTTTTGTGTACCAGGTGAAAAATCATAGCCATGGAAGAGTTTTATCTATTTGCTAGTACGTAAAACTTTGTCAAATAAATAAGATACAATTTTTGGGCCTTCCATTACTTTAAAAAGATTTAACTTAAAATGATATCTATTTGGAATACCGCCAATGACAATTATATTAGTTACATGTGTCAAAGGTAAAGAATATCGATAACCAATAAAATCTATTATTCTGTAAAATTCCATTTAAGTTTTATATTGATAAAAGTCGGTTGTTTACATGGCGGACGACGTCTAGGTAATGTCGTACCTCTTGCATAAAAATCCGTTAATGTCATATGTTTTGTACAGTTATCTATGGATATTTATTTAATCACATTTACTTTGTTGCAACAGTATAGTTTTAACAAGAGGAATATTCTTATGCATATGATCTCTACTATATGTGTGTGAATATGTAAAAAGAGAAGAAGACAATCAAACCGAACTATTCTTAAAGTTTGATAAGCAGTCATTGCCTTTATCGGAACTGATTAATTGTATGTTCGATTAATGAGAACAAAATGGAACCTGATAAATCTAAAAGCAGAAAATTAGAGGGCATCAGACTGAATCCATCAGATGATTATCAACTTCACGTATTTTTAATGAAAATTGCAAGGCAAATTACAGACGAGGAATTTAACGAAATAAAGTTTTATTGTTCAGGTACGTATTTTCAAAACATGCTTTTTATCATTTCATTTTGCATTCTTTGCATTCTTTGCTTCTTACTTCCATTTTACTCGTAAAACTAGTAGAAATTGGATTTTGGACTTATACTATCAAAATCCAGGACAAATCAGAATTCCAAAATCTACTACTAGGAGGAATCTGGATCGAGATGATATACTTAAAAAGACACAAAATAACAATTTTAATCAACTTCATGATTAAATAAACTTATAATGAAATATGCCCGAAATGAACAGAAAAGATAATGGACCAATTGCCTCTGCATTTTTTTCTCTTCATTTTAACTAGTGTATTTCTGAATATTAAGTTCATCGAATTTCAGATACCTATAGATAGTTCAAAACTTCAATTTTGACAGGTTTTGGTAAATATATAAAATGAATACTAAGAACATTCTTAACTAAAATTAATATTGTATTAGAAGTATTTCTATATAATTGACTTGGAGATTTACATTAATTATTTTATGACAATGATTTGTATGGTACGACTTAATCCTCGATTTATGTTAATGATCTTTCGATGTATAATTTGACAAAAACATGTATAATTTTTAACAACTGCTATGGACAAATTACACAAAGGGGTATTACATGCCGTTTGTAAAAGAGGGACGAAAGATACCAGAGGGACAGTCAAACTCATGGATCGAAAACAAACTGACAACGCCATGGCCAAAAATAAAAAGACAAACAGACAAATAATAGTACAGATGACACAACATAGAAAACTAAAGACTAAGCAACACGAACCCCACCAAAAACTGGGGGTGATCTCAGGTGCTCCGGAAGGGTAAGCAGATCCTGCTCCACATATATATATACACAGGAGTACCTTAACTGTATTTGGTAAAACTTTTCGAATTGTTTGCCTTTAATGCTTTTCAACTTCGTACTTTATTTGGCCTTTAACTTTTTTATTCAGACAAGTTCTTCTTTTATTTTCTTTATTTCTGCCGTTATTGATTTGATTTTATGCTACATTATAGTACATATATCAACCTTGCATGTTATAACTGTTCGAAACTTTAAATTGAGAAATATTTACTCTTTTGCATTATTTTATCACCAGGAAAAAATGGCATGGCAAAAGGAATTTTAGAGAAAATAGAGGATTGCATTAGCCTTTTCAGACATATGAAAGAATTAAACATGTTGTCAAATGAAAATCTCGCAACGTTCCAAGCAATGATATGGCACCTAGGTAGAAAAGATTTGTATAGACAGTTTGTAGAATTTTGTAAAAATCGAGAGGGAATATTGCATTTCTTTGCACCATCAGATAAACCAGGTAAATATTTCAACGCCACATAAACATATATTTAGTAAAAGTAAAACATGTACAGAGAACATTGATAAATATCCTGATAATGTTTTGAAACGCCAAAAAAAAAACCAAACAAAAAAACAAACAGAAAAACAACAGTACACAAAACACAACATAGAAATCCAAAGACTGAGCAACACGAACCCCAACAAAAAACCGGAGTTGATCTCAGGTGCTCCGGAAGGGTAAGCAGATCCCGCTCCACATGTGGTACTCGTCGTGCTCATGTTAGTACAAACCAGGTGATAAGTTTCATTCGGTGGGTTAGATTCGGGGAAAAGGTGGCGGCCTTGTAATTACGACAATTGGAACATATCCGTTGTCATTTGTGAAATAGATATTCCATTACGGTCAACAAACTCGCGATGGCGTCCATAAAATTAACGAAGGGATGATTTCAACTTCACCATTTGGAACTCTTAGTTTAATATCTTCCTTGTGAGCAGCAACCCTCTATCAAAAAAATCATGATAGAAAATACAAGCCCTGGAATATCGTATCAACTGGGAAATATATACTCCGTATGCAGGCGCTACTGGAATGTTGAAACATAGAAATGGAAAGTTCACAATCGGGAAATTGCAATCATCTCTTTTGGCATGAAGTTTTGTTTTCAACCGAACTTCATTGTCAATTTCTAGATGTAAATCAAAATATGAGGCAGACTTAACTGTATCTGTTGTATTCTTGATCTCAAGTTCGATGGGATAGATGCGTTCAACATAGTCACCAAATGTTGAATTATTTAGGTGTAATACCACCAATGATTTTCCCCTATTAGTCTTTGTTAAACTTGCACTTTTCAAAAAATTTTGCAGAATTTATCTTTGTTTCAAATAAAGAAATACTTGGCATGAGTAACGTTTTATCCTGTCCAGTACTGTAGACAAAATTGCACATAACATTTCATTGCATATAAGAAAATAACCATTTGACACTGGAAGTTAACCAATCAAATTTTCACCCCTTTTTTTTCCTGTGTACAAGCTTTAGTAACCATGTAACCTCAAGTTTCCAAAATATTCTATACAAATACTAATCAAAAAAATAATGGTGCTTTGAAACACCCAAGACATATGTTTATGTCTCAGAAATTTTTTACTGCAATGAAATGCAAATGTCAAATTCAAGGGAATATTTTTTCTACCCTTTTTCGTATGCAACCGGATGTGACGTACTATGATTTGGTGGTATTACACCTAAAGAAGACTTGTTTGTTGAATTAACTGAATGTAATACTAGTTATTTCAAGCATTATTGTCAAGTTTTGTCATAATCAGTTCAATAGTTTGAGAAAAATCTAATATAATGTAAGACAACATCTACTGCGATTTGAGCAAAAATTTTTCGAAAAATTCCAATTATTTATCTCATCTGCATACAAACAGTTGAATATTATACAAAAGATGACTCTAAGATGATAAATACCTCTTATGGACCTCTTTGTCTTCATTATAAGGTCCCTTTTGGTCCATTTATACCTCTCTCTCTCATTTCCTCAAAATTTCAACTTTTTAGGCCAATGAATAAAAATTTTGGGGTAACTTTCACTCATTTATGAAGGAAATGAGATAATAAATGAGTAATTGAAGTATTCAATCTGAATGAACTATCCATATAAAAGTTCACTGACATGGAGGTTTCAATAAGTCTTTACGTAATACTTAAATTTACGCCGTGTTCCAGAGAGGGACATAAAAAGCTTCCCTTTTAATGAATAATTTGTTGTTACTGCTTCAAAAATAATTTCATTTACTGATAACTATACATTTATTAAAGTATTACTTATAAAAAAGTTTTCTATTATAGCAAAATATAAGAAATTAGGAGAGAAAGTCAGGAAAAGCTCCCAAAAAAAGTCCTATTACAAGGCAATTTTCTCATAAAATGTGTTTTTGAGACAATATTTCATTTTTGTAATATTTCACTTAAATAGCATGAAATTTTCACAAATGAGAGAACACACAAGGTCAAAGGTCGAATGAGACGTACTATGATTTGGTGGCATTTCACCTATTTCGCGAGAGAACATCATCTATATAGCGGGAAAAGAAGTTAAAGGATACTGCTAACTTCTTTTTTTTTTCCTAAGAAGTTACTGTATGAATTCAGCCTCATACGCAAAATAGAACAAATCGGCAAGAAGAGACGCACAGAGTGTTCCCATGGAAATGCCGATTGTTTGTTGAAAAACACGTCCTCTAAACGTAACAAATATGTTGTCAATCAAGAAATCAAGCATCTTGATAATGTTAGTTTCACGGAATTTATTGTTTGAATCAAGGTGATTTTTTTACAAAGTACAAGTTATCCCTCCCTTAGACAAGATACTTGTATCTACGTTGGCCATTCTTTTTGATGAAACAAAGCAGGACCAACTCTTTCAATTTGTCTTTTAGTTTGGAATGGGGAATACTTGTGTAAAGTGTAGAAAAGTCAAATGATTTAATACTATTGCAAGATGAAAGAGTCTTAGATTGTATGTACTCTAAAAGATCTTTGGAATTTTTTAATATCCACATCTGATTCACGCTACCTCTAGAATAGGTAGTTTCGCAATAACTGAGAAGCCCGTCTTTGGTTGCTGCTAGAATTGAGGTTAATAATTTAGAGAGAGGTTTCTTGGAGCACTTGGACACAAAAACAGGTTTAAAACTATCACTGAAAAATGATATATGTGTTTCAAGCTATAATTTGATAAAGCAAATTACATTGTGTGTTGTTCTTCTAACTCAAGTTTAATTTCAATCTTAATACAGAGACTTTAGGTACGATATTTATTAATGATGCAAACGAGCGCTCATTTGGTTGATTTTTTCTATCTGCTTTGGGGGTTGTTAAATTATTGACGTATACGATGCAGCTACTTTTATTTATTTGATTTATTGATGTCTTTTAAATGTGTGCGATTAAGTCGCTAAAACTTAAAGTGCAAGATGCATGATATTTTACCACGGCTTCACTTTTTACATCGTTAACTAAATGAACAAATATTAAGAAAGCACACAAGAAAATATCGTTGCTGTTAATCAAGCCTTGTGGAACTCCTCATGCAAACTATAATGTTTGTCATTAACGAAAGATGTAGAGTTACATGCTGACTTTTTTGACTTTGTATGTGTATGTATGTACACGTTTTTGAGTAGGAATACTGTAAGAAATACAATTCGTTAAACTTGCCAACGTTAGGCATATCCTCAGTCTGGCTCCCTCTGCCACACAATGACTCTATTTCAACGGATTTAGCATCAACTTTGATACATTGTTTACTAATTTGAAAGCAATCAAATTCAGCTTTTTGTATATACTGTGTAAGGCCACAAGATAATCTGCCGAATCCAAATCTTCTTTCACTTTATTATCGGCAGCTGTAATTTTGAGTAGATTCATATGTAGCAACGCACTGAACAGTGTAGAAAGACAAGATCTTGTGTAGTGCATGTATTTGTATAAGATTTTAATATATAAAAATGAAGAAACATCTAGTCCTGTTTCATACTATAAATGATAGAACTAACAGAAATCTCTAATCAAGAAGTCACATAATTCAATGAAACAGGCCAAATTTGATCTGTTTTAAGGAAAAGAAACTCATAACGCTTGCGTCGACAAAAAAGACCTGTTAACATTATGTTTGATATAACAATGTCTGACTTGAATATTTAGTATGCCGAAAACCGCGCTAAATGATGTTGAAATCAAAAAGATTATCATAAGATTTTCCAAATCTCCATTCTTGGCCTATTTAGGGGTGTAAATGAAAATATCACTTTTTAATTTTCGTGCGTCCGAGTCCGAAGCATTTTTTTATGGAATTGCCTTCAGCATTAACACTCATACGTAAACATTTAAAAGCCAGAAAATACGTAGAATCATTATGACAAAAAATGACCTAATAACAACAGCTACATAAATCTGACGTCATTTTTTCATTAGAAAAATTCGATACAGCTCGTTCTATTTCACTTTTTGACATGTTTATTCATCTTGATATCAAGATTGGAATTATGTACACCAGACGCGCGGTTCGTCTGTAAAAGAAACATCAGTGACGGTCGAATAAAAAAAAGTTAAAAAGGCCAAATAAAATACGAAGTTGAAGAGAAATAACCCCGTTGATATTTGGGGCTAAATAATTTTCGACGGCAATGTGTGCACATTAATTCAAAACTCAATAGAAAGAATCCAAATGAATTATCACCGTCAAGAATTTGAAAATTAAACAGAAATTAAAATAAAATTTTGTTTCTTATAAGTTTTTACTGAAGACAATAATAAAAAATGTTGATATTAAGGTCTAAAAAGTGTTAATGGTCACTTTTAACATTGGATTAGGTAAGAATTAGTTCAGGTAAATATATTCCATTGTTTGAATATGAGGAAATTGTAATGAGACAGCAACCACATTAGACAAAAAAAAAACCAAAGAAAATCTATGGATCAACATTCGGTTTTCAACAATAGACCGAATGATGTGTTTATACAATTAGTCAAGCTCTAAATCGTCCTCGAGTATTACTGTCAAACGCAAATAAACTGATCATAGTAATATTGCAGTGAGATGTCTAAAATGGAATCAGCTGGTTATAAATACATAAATAAATAATAAAAAAAAATAGATAAATAAATAAATAAAAAAATAAATACATAAATAAATAAATAAATAAATAAATAAATAAATAAATAAATAAATAAATTATTTATTCATTCATTCATTAAAAGTTAAGAAATGTGTGAAGCTGACCTAACTAAGTTGTTATGTAACTTCTTAAACGTTAATGTTGCAAAATGTATTTACCTCTGTCAATTATCAATTAACAAACAATAGGTTCAAAGATTTGTATATATAATGATGCGTGATGTGAATAACTAATTTCAAATTCCTACTATTATATGATCGATTTAATTTATAATTCGAACAGCAAATGGTTACATTCATGTTGATTTTCACATCAGAGGTACAAAAGACTTTCGTCGACAGGATCTGGAAGAGCTCCGAAATAGTCTGTCAAATTTACTTTGTTGCCCACCAAGACATATTATCATTGATGGGATAGAACCTACAAGTAGTATTCACATAACTTTCATGATACCAGAGTTCTGCATTGAATATTTACTTGAGATAACAGAAACTGAAAAAGGAAGATTATATTTATGTGGTGTAGATAGATTCAAAGTTGATGAACAACTGGTTGACTGTATAGGTAAGGTAGAAAAGTTCCTTTACAGACTAAAATTGTATGTTACATTATTTGAATCCATTAAAGTTATTTATACTGGGAATTATACGCAACAGGAGTTTACTAATGTTTAAAGTTTTATTTACCGAGTGTGCTTTGAACTTACTTGACAACCTGTTCCTGTATTCATATAAGGCTGACTTCATACACGAGCTTCTTATGAAGAATTGAAAGAAGCTAGCATTATCTTTAAACTACGTTCTGCTATATAAATGATGTCCTCTCACTAAATAATTTTGGTGACTATGTTGAATACATCTATCCCATCACACTTGAAATAAAGGATACAACAGATACAGTTAAGTCTGCATCATATCTTGACTTGCATCAAGAAATTAACAATGGGGGTCGATTAAGAACAAAACTTTACGACAAAAGAGATGATTTCAGCTTCCCATTTGTGAATTTTTCATTTCTATGTAGCAACATTCCAGCAGCACCTGCAGATGGAGTATATATCTCCCAGTTGATACGATATTCCATAGCTTGCATTTCCTATCATGATTTCCTTGATACAGGTTTGCTGCTTATATTGAAGCTTTGAACCAAGAAGTTCCAAGTGGTGAAGTTGAAATCATCCCTTCCAAAATTTTACGGACGTCATCACGAGTTTCTTGACCGCTATGAAATATCTGTTTTACAGATGACGACTGATATGGGGCATTGTTAGTTTGTTTTCGACTTTTGAGATTGAATGTCCCTATGGAATCTATCGCCTCTCTTTTCCAAATGTAGTTTTCTGTGGACTTATTTGTCTTTCAATTTTTTTTCTTTGACTGCGAGTTATCTTAGATCGGTACGGTGTGTCATTTTTCTTTTGTGTTATTTTGTTTATGGTATCACACCATGATAACAATGAAACATTCCTTTTTGATTGATTTTTACAGTCTGTTTTACTTTCGAGCTGTTCCCCAAATTAGAAAAGGTTAAGCTCTGATTCACAAGCATGTTAATCATTTTTTGTGACAGTCCAAAGTCCAACACAACTAGTCTAGTAGATTCCTAGGGGTTGGATGCCGACAGTCATAGTTGTTGTTCGTTGGTGCTTCTAACTTTAATAAGGCTTTTTCTGTTGTATTGTTTCACATTTTGTTATCAGGGGCCTTTTATTGCTCACTATGATTTGTGGTTTTTGCTCATTTGCGTGACCTATAGTTGTCATCATTGAACTTTGATCTTTTGATGGATAGTTGTCTCATTGAAAATCGTACCAAATCTCCTTAATTTCATAAAATATGAATTTAACACTTTCTAAATTTGGTGCGTCCGAATCGCTTTCATTAATTCTCCTGCATCTGGAACGCTCTAAAACAGAAAATATATTGATATGAGATATGCAAACAGCAAAGTGACACCTTTAAACACTGGTATAACATCAAAGTAAGGATATCAATATATTCATAAACCTATTTTTTTAAACGCGTGAATTCATTGCGAACCAAGAAGAAACAAAACTAGAGAGGATCGAATGAAACTATAGTTCTTCAAAAGAGTAGGTGTCTAATAGTATGAAACTTCAGTTTTTGTTTTGTTTTTCTTTTTGCCAATACTTTTTCTTTCCGCTATTTGTCTTAATATATTCATCAATTTAGATTACAAAAATCAATAAGTATACCTACATTTTAGATTTCAAAGACAACGAACACATTCCTAGCTTAGATAAAGATGTCGCTGTTAGAAAACTTTTACAAACTAATAAACAACTTGAAAGAGATTTAGAACGGTATCAGATAGCATATGAAGATAAATCCAACAAACTGGATGAGAATAGCTCAAATCACTGTGGTATTTATTTCATTGTTTATATTTGTAAACAACTATGCCTTGAAATCAAATAATGGGGATACAGTTTTAGATTGAACGCCAACGGTGTAAAAAAATCATTGCATTTATTTAATTATAAGTATGTAAGGGAAAACGCAAACAGATCTGAAGAAAGATAATCTTTAAAAAAAATATGTAAATGATGAGGTATGTTACGGATATATATAGAATGATGGAATTTTTGTTTCTGATACAGACTTTATCAGCAATGATACAAAGCGAGCCATCCATATTCGAGCTGATGAAGTCAATATCAAGAAAAAAAATACCATTATCCTTTTTATCAGCAATTTGTCTTAATTGTATGTTTTCTTTTTTGGTTGAGAATACGAAATAAAAAAAAGAGTTAGTTAAACTATTTTTAAGCGCACAATGTATGCAGGAAGTCGCTTGCATTTCATTGAGGTAAATTAATGCGGATGTACATGAACACGTGACGTTACTGCACTGATACATGAAGTCATTACCTTATATTTTCGAGTATCAAGTCCTGTCCATGATCTCAAAGATATTAGACAGTTAGTTGAAAGGGAAAATGTACAATTTGCCAAAAAAAAAAACACTTTTGTAATCCAGTTTAAGGCCCAATTGTGTTGACATTTTGTCTATGAGTAGCATTGATCTCGTTCTCTTGAGAGGGAACTAAAAGTCTAATGTGAAGAATATTTAGACCGTAGGGCGGGAAGGGGGAGGGGGTTCTATATCAAATCTCATCACAATCGGACAATAAATGCCTACTTGTTTGTTCACCCCCTTCCCCAACAAAAAATTATGAACATACACCTTAGATGACGATTACTTCTATAGAAATCAAAAATATTCTAATCCTTAAACTTTTAAAATAGGACCAAAATAGTTAAAAACGTGTTTGTTTTTAATTCTTGGCATTTTCAATCTTCGACTTTCAATTCAGTACAAATTAAAATGCAGACTTTAGATACGGAAATGTGCATGCCAGTGTGTACATGTCGCTGTGATTATTTTCATCTAAACATAAAGCTAATATAGTGAAAAAATTACCTCTCATATCAGTATGAGCCAACAAACCATGAAAATGTTGGGAAAATATTGTGAAAATAATTGTATAAAGTTCGAGATTGCATGTTAGTTACGTAAGCGCGTCATTGTTTGTGATATCCTGTGGTGTTTGTCGTTCATGGAATATGTTCGTTGTTGTGTCGACTATTATATTATTTGTTTGTGTGTTTCTCTGTGATGAATGTTCTTGCGTGTGTTTGTGTTGTATTTCTGTCACGTAGTGTTGTCATTTTAGCGATATGTTTTTAACATTGTCATAAAGCGGGAGGTTTGGCTAGCCATTAAACCAGGTTCAACCCACCATTTTTCTTAAAATGTCCTGTACCAAGTCAAGAATATGGCAGTTGTTATCAAATAGTTCGTTTCTATGTATGTTGGCGTTTGTTTTTGTTGCACTTCAGTGTTCCTGTTGTTCCTTTGTTTTCCTCTTATAGTTGATGTGTTTCCCTCTGTTTTAGTTTGTAACCCCTCAATCGATCTATGACTTTTGAACACCGGTATACTACTGTTGCCTTTATTTGGCACATAAACTTTATAATTTCCTTTAATTTTTGTTCTTAAAAAAGGAAACGACCTAAAGACCAATTCCATTCTAAACTAAGTGTACTCTCATGTGCTCTGGAAGGTAGGCATCAACAGCACCTATCGTGTTGTTCAGGGTAATAAAAACATTAGTGATAAAACACGTTCTATAACAAAAAGGCCACAAAAGATCAAATTCAATTTCTAAGTTTTTAAATAGTGACTGCATATACATGAAAATTTTTTTGTATTTCTATTTTATATTAGGGCCCAAAGAAAGATTGTTGTAGAATGTATGATCTTCTGGTCCCGCAGGCATATTTGGCGGCAAAGTCTCATTACATATAGGCTCATACTATTTTTGTCGAGGGAACCTTTTTTTTGCTGTTGCATTTTTTGCGACAGTGGGGGTATATATGTCGGCAGCATATAGTTTTTGGGATAGTAAAACAATTGAGACCATCACATATGTCTTGACCTTGTCGAGAGGATATCCGAATTAGATATGTGTTTTGTACACGTATGTATGGGGGCTTTTTTTTTTTTATGTCAGTGTCATATTTACAGTTTTTGTTGAGAAGGTATCCAACAAAAAATGGGTTTTTATAGGGGTAGTATTGTCTTTTGAGTTTGTTAGTGTGCATTTTCTACCATTCCCTCCGAGTATCATATACGGAACAAAAATAAGTATATTAGTACCTGTTTTTAAGGTTTCCTTATTTACTCATTTTTATATACTAAAATATCAAGTAACCTTTAATTTTTATTGGCAGTTTTGGTTGTAGACTTAGCCAATATTGTAGGTTTCCCATGTACTGAAGGAAAAAAAGTATAATACAAATTTCTATCCTTATTTTCTTAAGGAGGAGAGCCTGAACAAACATGTTTGGTCTGAGAGTGTGTTCCAACCTCAGAGAACGAGATCAAGGTAGCACATCGACAAAATACAAAATCATTAAGCCTAAATTAAGGCAACAGTAGTATACCGGTGTTCAAAATCATAAATCGATTGAGAGAAAACAAATCCGGATTACAAACTAAAACCGAGGGAAACACACCAACTATAAGAGGAAAGCAACGGAACAACAGAAACACTGAAGTGCAACAAAAATGCAACATACATAGAAAAGAACTATTTGATAACAACTACCATATTCCTGACTTGGTACAGGTCATTTTAAGAAAAATGGTGGGTTGAACCTGATTTTATGGCTAGCCAAACCTCCCGCTTATATGGCAATGTTAAAAATACAATGACAACATTACGTGACAGGAATACAGTATAAATAAATGCAAGAACACTCAGGACAGAGAAATACATAAATAAATAATATTATAGTACATTTCGACATGTAAAGCACAGAATAACAACGAACACCTAAATTAATTTACGACAGTACACAAATACCCGGTACAGCATAATAGAATTATAAACTGTGCGTCACACGAATGTATCAACGCCACAAAAAGTGACGTCCCAGGAAAGTTTCTAAAAATTGAATATAAAATCGGGATTAAGTTTGTAATGGTGTTATTTGACGGGACTTAATTACTATGTATGCTACAGGTAAATCTAGAGTGATACCGAAAGTCTCAACGCAGTGCTGGCTGTTGTGATAATTCGAAATTAGAACAACGATCGTATCTTAATTATAAATAAGCGTTTATCGAATATTGCAGTTGAGAAAACGCAGAAAAAATTAAGAATTACAATTCATGTCAGCAAATTATTTATTTACCAGTATTCAACTGAATAATATTTTTTTCAAATACTAGTAATAGAAATGCAAGATGCCGATTTTCAGGATACAAATTTTAAATGATAAATGTACAAATCACAAATATACTATGTAGCAAGTATGGAACATCAACATTAAAATTTAGAATGATCTAGTTGCAATGTAAAAGTTGCAATTCTTGGACGTAAAATTACCGAGTTCCAATGTAACAAAGAAAGAACTAAAATGTTAAGGAGTTACATACTTGCAGTTTAAGAATTGAAATCTTGGAGTTTGTTATTCATTGACTTTCCATAGTTTTCAGCCGTACTCGTATTTGTTTATTGTATTATCTTTTTATGTCAAATTTAAGCTTGTGGTTCGATAATGATGGGTTCAGATATAGTTAAAATGTTATAGTACATACAATTTAAGCGTGAAAGAATACACAATTTGACTTCCTTCTCTCTTCTTCACTCTAATATAACTCATTCAAAACGTTTTGGAGGATGAAAAGAGTTAGTCTAGCTATGGTTCACAAAACAGAATAGTCAATAAATACAATTATTTTGTTTTAGGAAGAGAAACATTATACTGAGTAAAAAAAATTACTCTTATTAAAAAAAACATCGCTGAAAATGACACAATCGATTTGCTTGATTTTATGTATACAACATATTTGTTAGATTTTGAGGACGTGTTTTTAAACAGAAAATCTTCATGCGTATGAGAAACAGCTGTGCTCCTTTCTCTTCTTATTGACTTTTATTCTGCAATCAGCCAACAATTGAACACATAACAGGTACACGTATAATTATTCGCATTATTTTTCTCCTGCTACTCCGCTTCCATATCAAGGAAACGGTAATGTGAATATTTCTTTTTCTGTGACGGTTCATTTTGGGGTCCTCCTAGTTAGTACGATATTTTAGAGCTTGCTTTTCCTATAATGGTTTTCTTGATAGAGGGTTTTTGCTTACAGGTAAGCTGTTGAACCGAGCATTCCTATTGGTAAAATTGAAGTTAATACCTTCAAAGTGTTACGTACGCGTTCATGATTTGGTGACCGTCATTGGGATATGTTCCACAATTCCATCCGATTATCTTCGATTGTGGCATCATCGAAGGCGTCTTATCATCGATGTTTACTAGCCACGAATATCACAATGGGTGGCACTAGTGGAGCCGGATCGGCTTTCCCGTCCTGAGCACCTGAGATCACCTCTAGCTTTTGATGGTGTGTGTGTTGATCAGTCTTTATTTTTTATGTAGTGTTTGAAGACTGTCGTTTGTCTTTTTTAAAAGTTTTTCTCCGGTTAACAAGGGTCAGCAAAGATACAAGGTGTTTAGTTATATTACGCCAGACAAGTACACCATATGTTTTATTGAATGACTCATTAGTAGCGGTTGAATTTAAAAGTTAGCAACCATCAATTTGAACAACTTGTGCCAAATCGTGATAAAGACATCCCTATCCAGAATCTTAAATCTTATCGTGTCGAATGAGACTAGCATTAAGATATTTCATGTCATCACAGGGGTTATGGCTACTAGTCTGGTTTCACGATCGGGGACAAAACGTCCACTAGACAAAACACCAACCAAATATTTGTAACGAGTAATCAAAGAAAGGAGAATTATTATTTAAGACCTCCAGTCACTCTGTTCGCCTACTCAAGATTCATCGTTGGTGCTTGAACAGTTGAAATGAAAGTTCTAAAAGATGTTGAAACACATTTAAAATCAAATCTTGTCATAAACTCATCACAGATACCAGGTTTATGATTTGGTACGCCAGACACACGTTTCTTCTACATAAGACTCATCAGTGGCGCTCAAATCAAAACAGTTGGAATATTGAATCAAATACGAAATTGAAGAGCATTTAAACAGAAAATTTCCGGAACATTTGAGTATTAACGGATGAGGCATTTGTACAAACCTTTGATTTAGTTATGGTCCTTTTTCATTCTAAGGAGAGTATACATACTGTGCTTGTGATGACTATTTCTTATCATGTCTGCATAATTTGATTTGTTTTTCATTGTACAGATTTAAAAAAAATGGCATACGTTTAATGCATGAAAAATGACTATAGATATTGAAATCAAGTTTAAGTTCCGTTTAGTTGGATCATTTTATTTCGGCATAAAAGTCCTTGAATTTGAAAATTCTAACGGAAGCGAAATTTTCAAAGCGCTTTAACAGTTCCAGCTGACTGCACAAATTAAACAGATTTTTAACATGCAGTTGTGCAACGAGTAAGAGATTGAAATGTCTTGCATACAATGAAGGAATTGTGTTCACATTTTCACATTTCATTTCTTTCGGTCAAAGACACTCGAAGAATATGCCGTTACATCTATATTATTGATCTTAATGTAATTTTGTTTAGAAACGAGCATCACTTTCTCTCTTTGTAGTATAAATGTTTGTTGACATTTAAATTCACACATTTTTCATTAATCTGACGGACTGTTTTCCATATCACTTTTTTTTCATTTTTCTTTTCATATCGTTTACATAATTCCGTTGAAGAAACGTTGTCTACCTATTCCAAATTGTAAACTTTAAGTTACTTAGAGCTCCTGTTGGACTATCAATTATCAAGTGTACCATCTGCTCATAAGAAAGCACATTGATTTTAGTATCATTCAGATCTCTGTAAATTTACTGTACCTAAATATTAGTAATCTTTCACCTCCCTCCTGCAAATTCGTTTTTAGGTGAATTAGACCCTTTTGGTTTTTAAACTTCAACGTTTATATAATTTCTTTTCAACTTCGGTTTAGAGCGAACCTGATTTCAGACACACGCTTTGTACGCTTGGTAATCATAACAAAAGATTTGATTTTAAGAATTAATGCTTAATAATCGATCTGTTTTAGATTCTTTAAGAGAACTGAAAAATGCCAAGGAAAACAGTGAAGAAGAACTTAATTCAGAGATAAGAAAACTTAAAAATATGATGCACGAATATCAACTGAGTTGCTTACAACTAACAAGTGATCTTGAAATGGCTCGTAAAGCAATATTAACCGACGATGATCAAGGTAATTCTTAAGGTTTGAGGAATGAGGTAAAAATGACACAATTGTTAAAATTACAGATAAGACTACTATTCAGATATCAAAATATCTTAGATTGCGGAAACATGTTGCTATAGAGTTAAGATATAGACATATCGTATCGGGTAACCAATTCGTGATGGAGACCGTGAAACTTATGTAGTGTCGATTAGCAGTTTTTGTGTAAGGATCACAAATCTGCAAATGAAGTTTGGATAGTGAAATCATACACTAAATGCATGTTTTAAAAATAAGTTAACCAATCAGGAATTTTACGATGGCTTATTCAGTAACAGACATCCATAAAGCTTTAAAATAATGATTCTTACTCTTCAAGAATACTTTGAAACTTACGTATTGGTAATTACAAGAAATCATATTTGAAAAAAAAATCTTATCTCAGTTGCGATGAAAGGATAATTGTTACCCGCTCATTAACTTAATCTCTATTGGAAAAATATTCAATACAGAAATATTTTCAAATATTATATGAATTACAAAGAGACAACAAATGATATGGTTTCTACGTAATTTATCATTAATGTTGATACATTTTATTCAACAGAATTAGAACTTCACTCACGTAAAGATGGTGGACTAACTGTATTGAGTAAGTTTTTGTAGTTGATAATAATATTCATGCTAAGTTGAAGCTAAACGTTTCATGGTAAGATCTGTACTTATAGTGTTGATAACATTGAAATAACTCTTCATATTCTGTTAAAAGCTGTACTACTTATATTTGTGTTTGAGTCATATGAAACGAGTTTCTTGTTATAATGTTAAGAAAAGGACCGCACCAAGGCATGCATATATACTTAAAAACCTATATGCACCTTTTTAAAAACATTTATTACGAATCAACAAAAAACTATTTCATTCAGTGATTGTTGATCGACAACTTTTGATTTTTTAACCCTGTATACCTACATTCCCCATGTGAAATTATAAAATTGTTTTGAATAAACATTGAATGACAAACTTTTTTCTTATGTGACGTTTACATTTTCTGACGTCAGACACGCGAAGCAATGATTGTGGTTTTTAATTTGATAGATGCTTTTGTGCTTTTTTGTAAATAATTGCTTGTTTTGATATTGTAACACAGTGATGACTGCTGTACCCATATTTTGACTATTTTATTTATAATGTCTGTTTTGTTCACGCATCGTTGTAAATATAACGGAATTTGATAAGACTGTCGTACAAGTGAGAGGTTTAGCGCTATAAAACCAGGTTCAATCCACCATTTTCTACATTTGAAAATGCCTGTACCAAGTCAGGAATATGACAGTTGTTGTCCATTCGTTTGATGTGTTTTGTCATTTGATTTTGCCATGTGATTAGGGACTTTCCGATTGAATTTTCCTCGGAGTTCAGTATTTTTGTGATTTTACTTTTTATCAATTTTCGGATTTTGCTGCCAAGATTACATTACCGTTCGTTTACTTGATTAAAATTCAACACAGAATCTTGAAGCACATGAAAAATAAGTGAGCTAATAGAGTGATATTGCTTTGTTTTATATGATTACAGTTGTTAAATGATTTGCTGAATTTTTCTTTCAAATTCAATTACCACTATCTACAGTCCAGTGCTTGTTTATTTACCTTTTCTTTTATCACGCTTTTCCCCTCGCACTTGCTTAAACTTTCTTTTTGATACGCATTTTCCTCGCTTACAAAAAAAAAAAAAAAAAAAAAACATTCCCTCGCAGCGACTTTCGAGATGAACTACTATAAAAGCACCGTTCTTCTAAAATATTTAATGTAAAGTACGTGTAGGGATTTTGCGTCATGAATAAACACATCAAACCCTTTTCCACATTTTTTTAAACTTCTTTATTTAAGAAGGATTTGCATTTTTTTCCGGAGCACCTAAGATCATCCTCGGATTTCTTTGGGGTTTGTGTTGATTACTATAAATAAGAAGATGTGTGAGACAACTCTCCATCCAAGTCACAATGTGTAAAAATATACAATTATAGGTTAAAGTACGGCCTTCAACACGGAGCTTTGGCTTGTATTCTTTATTTTTCTGTGTTTTGTGGAATATTGTTTGTTTGTTTTTTTTTTTTTTTAGATTTCGCCATGTTATTATCTGTTCTCTTCGGAATTGAATTTTTATTAATGTACTCTTGGTATCTTCTATTTTTTTTTTTTTTTTTGTGAGGAACGCATATAAAATACGCCTTTACTGCTTCAAATTTTCATGTTAACTTTGCTTACATTTGATAGGAAGGACACTTTCCCAGGCAGATAAAGCAGAGTTAGAGAAAAGGTCCAATTTCTTACAATCGTAAGATATATTTTGCCAATAAAGTTAGCTGTTTAACATTTACTTAAATAAGGAATAACAAGTGAACTAAACCTCTGTGTTTATTCTTAAAAATCGTTTTCTAATAGCTTTTTTTGGAAAAAAATATCATTGGAATATTTTGTCAGTCTAACTTGATATAATCACTTCAAATAAAATGCACATTAAACGTAAATAAAAAAAAGAACTAATTCAGATTAGAGGTAGACAGTTACTACTTAAGCGAAAATAAAAATATTGAAGCCAAATTAGAAGAAGATAAGAATTGATCGTAAATAATGAATAGTTTTTCAAGGAAACCACCCTGAAATGTATCCTAAGACCAAAGTTAAGAGGAATGGATTTGGTAAGCATATTTGTGTTACACTTGATAAAATTTGTATTTCGTAATGTACGGAAACATTGAATTAGCTGGATTTGTTTGGTTTGTGAATTGAAAAAAATCATAAAATACACTTCTTTTTAAACTTTATTTCTAAAAAAATAAGCTGATTAAAAACTCAAGATAATTATGTACGAAGGACGCTGCTTGTAGTTGTGACTTTGAGATAAAGAACAGCAAAAAAAACGCTGTTCCTTTGCTTATTGTGTGTTTTTTGCTGTGCATGTACTGATTTTGGGTCATGGATGGATACCTCATTTCCTTTGTTTTTTTCATTATGAAACTTATTTCTGATAAGCCAAAAATAAAGTTATCATTCTTGGATTAAGAATGATTACACAATTTATGAATTGATAGTTTCAATAAAAATGTATCATTCAAAGAATGCCAGTGAAATATAAAAATGCTACATAAAAATTTCCGAAACAGACAAAGATTACAAGTAATTTTTCTTCAGGCAAATTATAAAGGTACTGCAAACCAGTAGAGCATGTGAAATTACTTCCGACATAATGAGAACTGTACAGAAAAACAGAAAGGACATCGACAAGTTAAAGGTATTTATATGCCATGAGCCATGTGGTGATAACTATGGCAATGCAACTTTTTTATGTGAATTATGTAATGTCTTTTGATTTAAAAGAAATAGTTTTACATACTGGGGATATTTCAAAAAAAAAAGAAAAAAAGTTAAAGTTATTAATGGGCTTCAGCATTTGAACTGCTTGATGAAATCATTATTTCGCATAAGAGTTGATTATCAATCCGTTCTTGTGTGATGCCTAATTACTTGTCTATTATATTCATGAAATGTTCTTTGATGTTAACTTTGGTATCCACCTATCGAAAAAGAAGGAGGATGACTTAAAAATAGTTTAATCTCGACACAAAGTCACATGATTGTCCAAAGTAAGAAACCCTGTCAGTGGTCAGCTTGTGTCATATAGTATTGATTTTTTTTTTTATTTGGTATCTTTTATAGTTTCTGTTAAGTTCACTCAAAACTTTGTTCACATTTCCCGCCGTAAGACGATTTTGAGATGACCATACAGCTGTTTAATGTTGAATACTGTATGTTGTCTTTTTGATTTTTGTAGGCTAATTGTGTCCGTATGATGCTGTCTCATAGACCATGAAAGTATTATATTGACAATTTAATACTTCCATGCGTTTTACACTAGTCATTTTGGGGCCCTTTATAGTTTGCTATTCGGTGTAAGCCAAGGCTCCGTGTTGAAGGCTGTACTTTGACCTATAATTGTTAACTTTTTATACATTGTGACTTGGGTGGATAGTTGTCTCATTGGCATTCATACCACATCTTCTTATTTATATTGACCAAATAAAACCAAAGCTTATCGAAAGAAATTCGGAAATATGATATTGTTCAAAATATTGTGGAAAGTTGATCATTTGTGGTGCCATCCATCTTAATTATCCATTTGAATTAAATAGATGGTTAGTTAGATGTTCACTCGGTGTCGCCCCGATTTTCCGACACCCCATAAGTCCGACAAAGGTTAATTACTGCCGTAATAGAAAATCAACTTTATAGAATCGTTGTTGGCGTGGTATATTGAACTACTCTTTCTTATAAGTATATCACAGAAACAGATGATACCATACCACACATCTGGTATTAAAGAAATACCATGACCATATGCATATGAAGCAATCAAGAACCTTGCAAGTTTTGGTTAACTAATACAAGGTGTGTTCTACATGGGAACAAATTCTACTAAAAAGGAAATGTAAAGATCAGTCATCAGATGTGCAGTTCGACAATCAATGTCTCTTCAGTGATGCTCGAGGCCAAAATATTTGAAAATCAAAAGCTTATTAAAAGGATGAAGAGCTATAAACCAAAAAGGACAAAAAAGTATAGCCAAAGCCGGGCAAGGAATCAAGAGCTTTGCATGAGGGAGATAAATCCCTTAATTTTAGATAATTTCAAAAATTTTGTAACAGCAAATTTTAATAACACAAAACCCGTATTTTCATGCCAGTACCGAAGTACTGGCTACTGGGATGGTGATACCCTCGGGGACTATTCAGTCCACCAGCAGAGGCATCGACCCAGTGGTAGTAATAACATAAACGGTACCAATTTTTCTTCACCAGATGCGCATTTTACCATAAAGAGGGACTATAATTCCCAAGCATTATTATTTCCGTTCATCTACACTGTACACAAACTTAAAGATTGAAAACTTTCAAAACTGAGAGCTGCCAAATTGTTAATTGATAATATACTCGAAAATTGGCGAGTTGAAACGTTTTTTCGTAACATCGATAGTAAAATTGTTCAATCGGTGATAATTGTTTCTATATAAAAAAAGACTTTATTGAGGTCGAAACTTCGATAAAAACGGATGAAATGTGCTGTCAGAATGAACTTGTATTGATTAGTCATGAAACATTTGCCACTGGACATTAGACAAACAAATAAATACCAATCATGTACAAATAGCCAAGTGCATGTACTGTTTACATAAGCGAAAATATTTGTAATTGCATATTCATAAAACAACAAACCTTTTTTCTGTACACAGTTATTTCCATTCGTGTTCTTTAAAAACACAACTTATCGGTTGTCTTTTGAACAGCACAAGTAATCATGCGACATGACAATAACTCTAACAACCAACACCACTTCTCTTGACATTGACACAGGAATGTACATGTTTTCATTATTGCTATTTACCAGCACGTTTTTTGTTGTTGTTAACTCTTATACGCAAAACAGATTCCTTACAGAGAACGCACCAAACTTTACAAGGTTCTATATGGTTTACCTGTTTTCCCACCGTCTTAAGAGTTCAGGGAATTAACTTTAAATAAATCACTCTTCAATTCAGTACAAATATTGTTGCATAAAGGTTGCATAAAGACAAACTAAGTTGACGTTCTTATCAAAATAATTCTGTACACATAACCAAGCATCACACATACAATTGTGTAAGCAGTAAAGCCTAATTGGAGCCTTAACTTTCTTAATTCTCTGCTGTGGGAGAGATACTCCGCTGCTTATCTTCATGTTAGTAATTTGACAAAACTTCACAAAGTAAATTTAGTTTGACAAAATGTTCACTACAGTTAGATTAATACTCGTGTTTTAGTCGTGCAAGACATGAGGTCCGCGTCTCTATCATTCTACGTGTTGTCCGGGTAAATATATCCCAGTATTTTCACTAATACATGTCTACCAACCTACTTTGTATAAATTGCATTAACTGTTCTTAGTCATTCGATGGACAAGGCCAAGTGAGTTTTAATATATATATATATATATATATAATGCACCCAATGGTGAAATGGGAATAGAAATATGGTCACTTTGATCTTCTTCCGACTAGCAGTAAACCCTTGTTAAACTTGGGCGTCCGTTTGGCTGTGCGGGATGGTTAATTTTCAACAACTGACAGAGTGGGGACGTCAAATCCGATGCCTCGTGTAAAGAGTTTGCCACGCTCTCTGCACGTTAAGAACCATTGCAACAACTCTTTGAGGGGCCGTCGGTGGCCTTTTGTCTGAGCCTGTTGCAAGGCAAAATTTCTGTCCCTATCCAGTATACTCTCATTGTCCAGTGGCAGTCCAAATTTCCTTGACCTTTTTTTTATCCCGTATGGCCCCTTTTACAGGACCTATCTAGTGTATTTATTGTTAAATTGTTCTCGTCCTGAACATGCATGTTATATTTGCCTATGGAAGTTAAGCAAACATATGCTTTTTCATTAATATCTATATAAAAGTGTATATTGTGTCTATATCATTATAATAATGTATGTACTTCATGAATATGTTATTACTATTTTGAGGACACTCAGGAAGATTAGTTTTAATAATGGGATTATCTTCTTGAAATAAAGATTATTTATTTATTTATTTAAACATCAATCAATCAATTATTATTTTAAATGAACACGTAACCGGGCCATTTAATTTAAACTTGAAAGATATAAGATATTGTTCAATTATTCCGTGTCGGACCATTGGGGTGTCGGACTATTGGGGCGTCGAACCAATGGGGTGTCGGACTAATGACGCGTCGGACTATTGGGGTGTCGGACCAATGGGTTGTCGGACTAATGCGGCGTCGGACTAATGGGGCTGCTCCGTTCACTCTAACAAGGTCTGGGTACGTCTGTCTAATTACTTTATAGATATTTTGTTTTCATTTGTGACCTCCTGTACTTTTTATTTCTTATTTATTCTAAAAGTAAATATTACTTCAAATGATTTTTATATGTTAAATACTAGTATCTGATGCAAAGATCATAACATTTCTCGTGTCAACTCCGTTGTCAACCCTTATTTGCATACAATTTCCCCCGAGTAGAAAAAAGTCGTAAAAAGTGTCTTCTCCTTAATCTGTTGACAATATGTCAGATATTTATTTGGAAAAAATAGCATGAACAGTTGTTTGAAAATCATTACGGCCAGTAAAACCATAAGAACGATTAAATTGCACCTTTACAATAAACTCATATGAAAGGATTTCTCTCTGAATAAAAAATAAATGTGTTTTATTGTGTGACCCATAAATTGGAATGGTAAGTAACTTTTAATTGGAAATAGTTGTATGTTATAAGAAAATTTGTCAATTCATGCTTTATAATACTGATGTTTCAGGATCATATACAAAGATTGGTAAATAGTGAAGTCTTTGATGAGGTTTATAAAGCAGTTCTAAATTTGATAAGTATAGAAGATGCAATTGCAGAAAAAGAAGGCTCGGAGTATAACCTATCATCTACATATTATATTGACACTGATGACGACGATGACTCCAGTGATTATGATTAAAGAAAAGCGAGCGAGCGAGAGAGAGAGAGAGAGAGAGAGAGAGAGAGTGAGACGGCCAAAATTAATTACTGTACAGTTAAATATATATGACTGTCTGGGTTCTTTTGGTCTAGTTTTGTAATAAAAAAAAATCTTAACTTTATGAGGTAAATGCAGCAAACAGGAAAAAAGAATATGACCGAAGTAATTAGTTCAAATTTGTTGAAAGACCACTGTGTAAGACAAGGACAAATCATACTCTGTTCACTGATGAAGGCCGAACGGTTATCGTTATTGTTTTATATTTCTGTATTCATGAAGCAACATATCAGGTCATTGTTGAAGGTTTCCGGTGATGTGTTATTGTTTTCATCCTTTTTATTACTTTCATTTAAAACATATTGTATTGGCTACATTCAAGCAAAATGGATGAGTCACAAGTAAATCACACTTATGAATTATTCTCCATAATGCAAGTCTGAAAATTAAAACCATACAATATATGCCCACTGGATCTCAGTGTGTTTGAAATGCAGGGTAAATACGAAAATGTATACAAGTCTGAAAATTACACCCAGCAGTGTTAGAATTAGATTTTTATGCTGACAAATTTTTGTCCCTCAACGGGAATTGAACTCACACCTTTAATACACTACAGCACCAATCGCTTAGCCTCATGTCCAGCGCTCTAGATCACTCGACCACATCCGCTATATAAAAATATAACTTCAATAGTCGTAGTGTTACCTTGTCACGTAAGGCGAATATAGAGATAGACATAAGACATGTGTTTAAGAGTTTGTAGATGTTATATTTTTTTTTTATACACAACGTATTTTTATTTGTCAGCAATCTAACTCAACAATTTTTATATACCGAATGGGATAATGATAAACTTCATTATACAGTCACTTGAAATAAGTATAGCAGACAAACAAGTCTAGGTAAGTGACAACCATACAATATATATGCCCACTGGATCTCAGTGTGTTTGAGACTTGACATAAGTATAGCAGACAAACAAGTCTAGGTAAGTGACAACCATACAATATATATGCCCACTGGATCTCAGTGTGTTTGAGATACAGGGTAAATACGAAAATTTAGGCTCAACTATAATATACGGTAGAAGTAGTTCCTAACCCAATTACATATTCATACATCTGCAATGATATGAATGTTGTATCAAATATTATATCGATTCCTGAAACGTAGTCTCAAATGACAGACACATAGACACCTCGACACATAGACACCTCGACACATAGACACCTCGACACCTCGACACATAGACACATCGACACATCGACACATAGACACATCGACACATCGACACATAGACACATAGACACATCGACACATCGACATATCGACACATCGACACATCGACAAATCGACATTTTTAATGACTATTAATTGTATATTAGACAATACTTGAGAAAGTTGAAGAAACTGTAACTGGCGAAAAGGTAGCAACGTCTTCAATAAAATTATAAAAAATGTCACCATTTGAAAATCCAAATTTGTATCGGTACATGAATTCTTAGATATAGCTGTAGTACACTTTTAAAACACCTATGGTACAAGATAATGCTAAACCCTAACATAAACCCTAACCCTAACCTGAACCCTAACTAAGAGTGCTCTTATACACAGCTTACGGCACTAGATTGCTCTTTTACACAGCCTACGGCGCTAGATTGCTTTTTGATATAGCTTCGGCGTTAGATTGCCATTTGACACAACTAACGTAGTTGTATGTAGCCTACGGCGTTAGATTGCCATTTGACACAACCAATGTAGTTGTATGTAGCCTACAGCGTTAGATTGCCATTTGACACAAACAACGTAATTGTATGTAGCTAATTATACGGCGGTAGATTGCTAATTAACACTGCCTACGGCGTAAGATTGATGTTTGACACTACCTACGTAGCAAAACAAAACTAACAAACAAACAAATATATGAGATATAGCTGTAGTACACTTTGAAAAAACCTATGGTACAAGATAACGCTAAACCCTAACATGAACCATAACCTAACCCTAATCCTAACATAAACCCTAACCCTAATCCTAACCCTAACCTTAACATAAACCCTAACCCTAACCCAAACCCTAACCCTAACCCTTACCTTAACCCTAACCTTAACCCTTACTAAGATGGATCTTATACACAGCCTACGGCGCTAGATTGCTCTTTGACACAGCCTACGGCGCTAGTTGCTTTTAGACATAGCCTACGGCGTTAGATTGCCCTAACATTAACCTTAACTAAGATTGCTCTTATACACAGCCTACGGTGCTAGATTGCCTCTTTGACACAGCTTACGGCGCTAGATTGCTCTTTGACACAGCCAACGGCGCTAGATTGCTCTTTGACATAGTCTACGGCGTTAAATTGCCATTTGAAACAACCAACGTAGTTGTATGTAGCCTACGGCGTTAGATTGCCTTTTGAACAACCAAAGCAGTTGTATGTAGCCTACGGCGATACATTGCCATTTGTAGCTTACGTCGATAGATTGCTAATTATCACAGCTTACAGCGTAAGATTGATGTAAGTCACAGACCACGGTGCTAGTTTGCCTATTGCCACTACCTACGTAGCTATAGTACAATTTGCAAAAACCTACGATGCAGGATAAGGCTAAACCCTAATATGAACCCTAACCCTTACCCTTACCCTTACCTTTACCCTAACCCTAGCCCTAACCCTAACCCTTACTCTAACCTTAACCCTAACTTTCATTGCTCTTATACACAGCCTAATGCGCTATATTGCTCTTTGACATAGCCTACGGCGTTAGTTTGCCAAGTGACACTACCTACGTAGCAAAACAAAACAAACAAACAAACAAATATTTGAGATTCTAGTAATTCAAAATGTCAATGTGTCGATGTGTCGATGTGTCTATATGTCGATGTGTCGATGTGTCTATATGTCGATGTGTCGATGTGTCTATATGTTGATGTGTCGATGTGTCTATATGTCGATGTGTCGATGTGTCGATATGTCGATTTGTCGATGTGTCAATGTGTCGATGTGTCCATGTGTCCGTATTAGCCATTAAATGTTATGCCGATTCACTCATAATAATCCGCTGACGAGAACTATTTCTTCCGTATACTCCAGTTGATCCAAAATTTATACAAGTCTGAAAATTAAACCCAACAGTGTTAGAATTAGATTTTTATGCCGACAAAATTTTGTCACGGCCCTCAACTGGATTTGAACTCACACCTTTAATACTACTACCTTACAGCACCAATCGCTTAGCCTCATGTCAAGCGCTATATAGGTCTATATATATATATATAATTCGTCTCAAATTTATCCCAACCATGTTAGATCTTCAAATTTGCGTTAGTAAATTTTTGTTCTTCCCTCAGCATGCTCAGCGGGAACCCTTGCTTCTGTGACATCGTGGCAAGAAAGCAAGGGTTCGAATCCCGGCGAGGGAAGAACAAAAATTTGCTTCCGCAAATTCGCAGATTTAACATTGTTGTGCTGATAATTAGAGTAATTATGTATATATACATATGCATATTTACTTCTAAACAAGTGACAACTCTACGCACTTGTTTAGACGTACTTATCAAATAATTATTTCTGTGACTGCATCTTACGATCCTTTACGACAGATAATTTAGCTAATCTGCAATCAATTCCATCTTCATGTTTAATATATCATGTACTGTGTTACAACTCTCTAAATTCTACTGACGAGGAAAGGTAACACTAGGCCACCGAAAGCTGATTTTTTTTGTTCAGTCTTGGTGGCCGAGTGGTCTAGAGCGCTGGACACAGTGCAGGCGGTGTTGTCACGATATCCCAATAGCATGAGTTCGAATCCCGGCGAGGGAAGAACAAAAATTTTGCAGATTTAACATTATTGTGCTGATATTTAGAGTAACATATGTATATTTATATATATAGAGCTTGCCTTCAACACGAATACACGAACTACAAATAAAAAGAAAAAGAAGAAGAGGCAAAGATTGGTAAATCATATTATGCTATAATGATGACTTAGGTTTTGATGATGATGTCAACGATGACGATGGTCCGTGTGTTTCAATAAAAAATTTATGAAGGTACAAGATATTTGGTTGACATTTGAATAAACTCGTCAAAGATACCTGCGACTCTTTTCACAAAAAATCTTACGATTAAAAGTGATCGTAAGTAATACTGAAATGTGTATTATAAAAAATACCGAACTCCAAGTTAAATTCAAAAAGTGGAAGTCCATAAGACCAAACGCTCGATTACATCAACCAACGGAACAACTGGAAAACAGCTGTCATATTCCTAACTTAGTTCAGACATTTTTCGAAGAAAATAGTGGGTTAAACCTTGTTTTATAGATATCTAAACCTATCAAACCCACTTGTATGACAGTTGTTTATAGCTATCTAAACCTATCAAACCCACTTGTATGACAGTTGTTTATAGCTATCTAAACCTATCAAACCCACTTGTATGAAAGTTGTTTATAGCTATCTAAACCTATCAAACCCACTTGTATGAAAGTTGTTTATAGCTATCTAAACCTATCAAACCCACTTGTATGAAAGTTGTTTATAGCTATCTAAATCTATCAAACCCACTTGTATGACAGTTGTTTATAGCTATCTAAACCTATCAAACCCACTTGTATGACAGTTGTTTATAGCTATCTAAACCTATCAAACCCACTTGTATGACAGTTGTTTATAGCTATCTAAACCTATCAAACCCACTTGTATGAAAGTTGTTTATAGTTCCGTTGTATATACTGACCCAGACTAACAGAAAGGATCCAGTATAGTGTTTTATCAGCTTTTAAAATGGCATAGTTTAAACATGATGCGGAACATCGCAATTAAGTTAAAATTGTAAAAAAAATTTTAACAATCAAGACAAACAACAGTATACAAAACACAACATAGAAAATCAAAGACTGAGCAACACGAACCACACCAAAAATCGGGAATGTATCAGGTCCTCCAGAAACGTAAGAATATCCTGCACCACATGTGCCACCCGTCGTGTTGCTCATGTAAATACAAATTAACTCTTGATACTATCTTTTTACAATTTTTCATAAGTTTATAGAGTCGATAATGCGAAATTTATTTTAGATCAAGCCCATTCCATTCTCGTATTGTGGAAGGAAT